GAATATGGCTTGAGAATAGGTTTAGTATGCCTTCTTGGGATCCCATGGCTATTTCCCCTCCTGTTTTATCTGACAGAAACCATTTTTACCACCACTGGCTGTTGGTTGTATCCAGATTGGAATCTATTATGATTGAGTTGTGGTAAGGTGAAAAGGGGAATTAATATTACAGAGGGCTACTGGTTATAGGGGGAAAATTGTTAATATTGGTGATTTTTGCCAACTATCAACTGTTAAAACCTGAGCCTCTGTCTCCGCGTTACCAATTCATCATACATATATTAAATTGCCTACTATGGATGTAGAAAAATTTAATGGCCTAGCTCCTGTCATCTAGAGCTAAATCATTTTTGTTTCAACCCCCTTTTAGTTTTTCATTGCCTCTCCCTCTTTTAAGTTTCTTGCTAGAGTTCCTCTGTATTTTACTACTGGTCTCCCTCTTTCTCCTTTTCTCTTTTTATATAACTCTGTTGCCTGTGGGTATAATTTGAATTTGAGGTATATTAATTGATACAGGAGTTATTTATTAAATTTATATTGCCCCTTAAAAAATAAACAGTGTATTCCAATTAGTTGGGAGGCTGAAGCAGGTTGATGAGACACTTTCTTAAAAATTAAAAAAAGTTGAGAGGACTGAGGATGTAGCTGAGTATGAGCACATTGGATTCATTCCCCAGTTCCACAAGAAAACAAAAACAAAAAACAATAATCCCAAGGAGCTGAACCTGTGATAATTTTCTCTAACAAAGTTTATAATGTTAAGGTAAATCAGACTATCCATAATTCTGATACACATTTTTATACAGTGATCATTAGTTATAGGAAATATGTTTTGATCATACTAGTAAAATTATACATTTGACTTGAAAGAGAATTGAACAGAAAATCTAGTTTTAATAGATGTACTTTCAGTTGATTCTGATATTGCATATTTTGTATGACTTCAAGTTTTTTTTTATTTTAAAGAGCAACTGGGATGAGAGAAAGGAGAAAAGAAAGAAGGAAGGGAAGAGGGCTGGGGTTTATCTCTGCGGCACAGCGCCTGCCTGGCAAGCGCAAGCTCATGAGTTTGATTCCCAGTACCAGAAGAACAAAAAAAAAACAAAAACCAAAAAACAGAAGGAAGGGAAAATATATGTGTGTGTGTGTGTGTGTGTGTGTGTGTGTGTGTGTATACATATATATGCATATATGTATACACACACACACACAATATAACTCAAGCAATTGTACTACTAATTTCTGTTGGTTTATTGGAAGGAACAGTTAGTGCTTAATTGTTTGATCAGTGTTGCATGTCTATATCTGGTAATCTTAACAGCTACTTTGAAGATAACAAAATGCAGTGTAACAGTCATTGTTAATTTCCTATCATTTTGTTTGGAAATTCTGTATTTTTTTTTTTTTTTATGTAGTGTTGTTATGTACATCTTTATATATGCTTTTTTCTTACACTTAAATTTCTTGGGATAAAGAATCAGGATTGTTCGGTTAAAGGAATGGAAACATTTTCTTGATTCTTAATGTTAGTCTCCTCTAAATGCAGATTGAGACCCACGCGAACTCAAGTGAAAGGAAATTGAATTGTATGAAGGGAATCCCATGAAAGTCTAAAGACAGGAGACATGATTCCTCCAGGTCTGTATGGATCCTGGAAAAGGAAACTAGAACTAATCAGAATCTTTGAGGAATCAGTGTTTCATTTTTCTGTGGTTTCATGATGTTGCTTCTCCTAAATATTAGTTTCTTTTCTTTACTGGTAGATTCAGCTCTGCTCGATCACAGATTATTCTTTCCTCCATTCTAGGTTTGCATAGTGCTACTGCTTGCTTCATCAGGCCTTTCTGATTCTGGCTTGATTTCTTTCTTCAGTGTGTGTCTGCTGAAAAATCCCATAGTCTCTTCTTCAGATGCCTGGCCAAGGATAAGATGGGGTAGGGACTGTTAGGTTTGAGGCTGCACAGCAGGAGGTGAGTGGTGGGCAAGCTAGCAAAGCATCTGTGTTTACAGTTGTTCCCCATCACTTGGTTGACAGCCTGAGCTGTACCTCTTGTCAGATCAACACAGCGTTAGATTCTCATAGGAGCAGGAGCCCTACTGTGAACTGCACAGGAGAGGAATATAGATTGGGTGATCCTTATGATAATCTAATATAATAATAAGGTACATACTGTAGTAACAATAGAAATATACAGTAAACGTAATTTTCTAGAACCATCCTGAAACCCTCTCACCAGCATTTCTCCACCCGCACTCACTCTCTTGCAAAATTGTCTTCCATGAAACTGATCCCTAGTGCCAAAAAGGTTGGGAACAGCTGTCTAACTCATTGTTTTGTCTTCATTCTCCTCCAGCGAAGTGGAACAGGCTGTGTGTATCCTCTGGATGTTATGTTTTTAAAAAAGCAAGGAACCCAGCTCTTTAAATGCATTCTAATTAACCTGTAATACTTAGGCACAGTAAAATCTGTCTAACCGTTTAGAGACTAGATAGTTCAGGTTAATATAAATTGTCAGGGAGATCAATTCTACATAAAGTTTCTTTAAGTGTTTTGTTAGTGCACAGTTCCTTTTCTCCTTCAGTGTGTTAGACTTGTAAGTTAAGAGTTGTGTAAATACTATTTAAAAATTGCTTATGCACAATGCTAAATATTTGTAACAGATTAATAGTATGTCTGTTGAACAGATAACTTTGTTCTCCGGTTCCATTTCTATTTGCATACTTGGGTCATTGCTGGTGTAGCTTGATTCAAGTATGTTCTGCATTTTAAAATGAGGTATAAGTTAATTGAAAGACAAAGTTAAATTTACTAAACTCAAGCGGATTATGTTAATATAGGATACCTATTTCTTGATGGTTAACAGATATGTGAGACTAGCTTTATTTGTCTCATAAAATTCATAAGTTCTGTTAAAATGGTTCTGATGAAGACTTATATTCAATAAACTCAGATTTATTCAACTTAAAAGCATGTTTTCTAAGGTCTAAAATAGTTTTGAAAATAATGATTCACATATGTACATAAACATATACATATATATTTTTCCCCCAATACTGAAGATCAATTCCAGGACCTCATTCATTCTAGGCAGTGCTCCAGTATAGAGCAACATCCTAGTTTGTTTTTATTTTGAGACAGGGTCTTGATAAATTGTCTACCTGACCTCAAATTTGCAGTCCTCCAGTCTCAGCCTTCAAAGTAGCTGGGATTATAGGTGTCTGCCACCTTGCCCAATGGAATTTGTTGTTTTTAACTGTTGCCTCTTATAAGACTTATTTGTCTTAGTTATTTTTCTCATTGTTGAGGCAAAATACCTGTCACCCAAAGCTAAAGGAAGAAATATTATAGCTTACCGTTTGCTGGCTGCAAGGCAGGGTAGCATGGCAGAGGGGCATTACAGAGGAGAAACATCATGGGCAGAGGGCAGCAAACTAGTGAATAATCAGCAAGCAGCAAACGAGGATAGCAGCCCTCTTTCTGTCCCTTATAGTCTATCCAGGCTGCACACCTTTAGGGCAGGTAGCACTCTATCCAGGGTGGGCCTTGCCATTATTTACACCCAGAACTAAGCCAAATCATTAAGTGGGTTAATTTAGTAATCACACGTGCTTGATCCATTGTCACACACTCTAGATCCAGCCATCTCTGAAAAGCCCCACCTATGACTACATGAGGTTTTAGAGGGATGTCTAGACACAAGCCATAATATTTGTACATTAGAAGTGCAGATGTTAACTCACTTTAATTTGCTTTACCGTAGGTATGTTCTTGGGTTTAATTATATCTGTGTTAAATATCTCGCTGTTTTCTATAACATTTTGACATGACATCAGAATATAAATCACTTTTGGCAGGGGGATGGTAATACTGAGGATTGAACCCAGGGCATTTGCATTGAGCTATATTCCCAGCCCATTTACTATTTCGTTGTAGGCTCTTGCCTGGGTTCTCCTTAGTTTCTCATAGTGCTGGGATTACAGGCCTACAACACCACACCTTCTGTGTGATTTATGCATACATACAGGAATATCAATATCTAGAATATGAAGATCAGAATCATCTAAGCATTGAGATTTAATTTTAGCAGAAACTTCCCCTTAGGTGAGGGATACAGTATTTATATTCAAGGCAGATATAGAAGGGTAGTCAGATCATATATTTTTTTTTCTTTCTGTAGCTGTTAGGTTCATCTAAAAGTAGAGCTGACACTATTGATGAAGAAATCCATTTTCTTTTTAGCACTTGGGTAGAAAGAATAATATTGGCCACCATTGCTTTTGCAGTGTAACCTGTTTAATACAGTAAGGAGTAGCTTGAAGAGAATTAAGAAAATAATTAATTTTAATTGATCTTAATGCTTCATCCTGACATTTTGATTTTGACTTTATTGTATTTCCATATCCTTGATGTATTATCCTACCACAACACGAGACTGAGTCACAGAAACAGAGATGCTAGCAGTTACTGGATGGTCTTAAATCTGTAAATGAAAGAATGAATCACCTCTCATTTTTTCCATTAAAAATTTAGTATTGTAGTGAATATCCAGTGTGCTGGTATGCTTTATTTTCACATATAATAGTAAGTATCAACATTATATAATAAAAGAGAAAAAGCTAAATGTTAATAAATTATTGAGTGTACCTGAAGGTGTAGGCTCAGAGTGCATATGTAGCATGCATGAGGGCCTGGGTTTAATTACCAGTGTAAAACACTCATATACCAAGGATATTTGGGGAAAAACATTTTAATTCCTTTCCATTAGGATCTTTTCACGTGATTTGGATGTGTAATACGCACTGTTGTCACTCTTTTTTCATAGTGTGTTTGAATTGTAGTTGGCAGGGTAATCAAGTACATGATTTGAACAATAAATTTGTTTAGATTCAGATTTGTAGATCAGGTTAAGTCTGAAATGCCACTTAAAAGAGTGGCAACTTTCCAAAATTTTTATAAAACTGAAGTTGTTTCTTTTTCTTTTTGTCACCCCCTCATTTAGGTTTTCACAGGTTCATACTAACAAAAGCACCATGGAGTTTTATGAGTCAACATATTTTGTTGTCCTTATTCCTTCAGTAGTTATTACAGTTATTTTCCTCTTCTTCTGGCTTTTCATGAAAGAAACATTATACGATGAAGTTCTTGCAAAGCACAAAAGAGAGCAAAAGCTTATTCCTACAAAAACAGATAAAAAGAGGGCAGAAAAGAAAAAGAATAAAAGGAAAGAAATCCAGAATGGGAACCTCCATGAATCTGATTCAGAGAGTGTACCTCGAGACTTTAAATTATCTGATACTTCGGCTGTAGAGGATGAGCAAGTTGTACCTGTTCCGTTGAATGTGGTTGAAACTTCAAGTAGTATGAGGGAAAGAAAGAAGAAGGAAAAGAAACAAAAACCTTTGCTTGAAGAGCAGGTCATCAAAGAAAGTGATGTATCAAAGATTCCTGGCAAGAAAACAGAGCCTGTCCCAGTTACAAAGCAGCCTACCCCACCTTCTGAATCAGCTATCTCAAAGAAGAAACCAGGGCAGAAGAAGTCTAAAAATGGAAGCGGTATTGTGATCTATTTAACTTTATTATATGACATTTGTGTTAAGTCTGAAACCAAGATTATTCTTTTTGCTGTGTGTTTGCTTTCATTAACAATGATTGCTAATAGAAATCAGTATGGCTCCATGAATCAGCACTGTAAACTTTACATTGTAAATATGGAAAAGACCTTTAATGGAAGTTTATAAATCTGACTTCGATTATTTTCCTAAAACTGCCAAGGATTTGTAATTACTAGCAATTAGAAACTTCTACATTTATTTTCAACCAGTACTTTTTAATCAGTGTGGTGAGAATTAATGATAAATAGATAAGACTGTTTCTCACCCTTAATTTTGCAAGCATTTATCATGTCTTTTATGCAAGGCATTGTGCTTGATACTTGGGCTGCAGAGGTGAGTAGTGCATTTTCAGGGTAGTCTACAGTTAGCTGTAGACACACAGGAAAATAGGTCATTATAATTTTAAAAATTTAGTATAATCTAGGTATGTCTAAACCAATATAGGAGTTTTAAGGCAGGCTGTTTAGACATGTAGTGCTAGAAATTAAAGTTTAAATGGGTGCCAGCTAGATTTCTTCGGTGGATAGGGAGAGGTAGGATAGGATATCAAAGGGAGAGAGGTTTACAGATATAGTCAGTCCTCCATATTCATTAATTCTGTGTCCTTGGGTTCAACCATGAATTACAGATAATAAAACTGGATCAGTATTGATGCAGTTCAGCCTTTTTTGTTGCCATTATTTCATAAATAATACAGTACTATGTTATATAGCATTTATATTAGTATTATGAATAATATAGAGATGATTTAAAGTAAAAGGAAGGATGTATGTAGTTATATGTAAATACCACACCACTTTGGGTGGGACAGGAACATCTTCAGATTTTGGTGCAGGGGGAGGAGTTCTAAAACTAATCCCCCTGGATATCCAGAGATGACTACAGCAGAGAAGACTTGAGAAGTGGCAAGGAATGTGATGTATGACTGCAAACAGTTTGCTCTGATGAAAGGACTCATCATTGGTCCACCTTTAGTGTTGACTTGTTTGTATTGGATTTATAATATTTGCCAGCTGTGACTAAGCATGGTACTAGAGAAATAGAGTAAGTTCCATGTGTTTTAGGGAGAGTGCATGTGTAAGCTAGTAACAGAATGTGAGTTATATAGGAAATATATATATTAAAAAGAAGTCTGGAAGAAATACAGAAGCCAAAGTCAACTCTTGACGTCTGGGGAGGAAGAGGTTTTAATAGCGGAAGCAGTGCCTAAGCTGAATCTTCAAGATTGAATCTCTTCATGCAAATAGTGGGTCTCATTTCATACTGACAGAATGTTATACCTATAGGCACAGAAGTACAAGATTATAGTATCATTGAGCTGTAAAATATGAGGTGGAGAACAAAACTGAAAAGCTTTTGTGTACCATCCCAGGATCTGGGACTCTGCAGATTAGTCATTGTTGAAGATTTTCAAGCACAGTTGTTATATAGTTAGATTTAAATTGTATTTTAGGCAGAACTTGTGAGAACAGATTTCATAGAGCAGTACTTGAAGTAGTCTGACTATTTAAAAGGTTACTATAGTTTTCTAAAGTTAAGTTGCAGGCCTAAATTATGGCAGTGACAGAAGAACTAGAAAGTAAAGAGGTATACAAAGTAGGAGTAACATAACTTAACCTTAAATAGGGGAATGGGAGGTGAGGAGAAGACAGAATCAACGCTGATCTGCCAAGATCTAAGTTACATCAGGATGTACAAGCTGCAGCCTGTGGGTTACATCTGCCCTTTCTCCTGTTTTTTTTTATGACCTGTGAGCAAAGAGTAGTTTTTACATTTTAAATGGTTGAGGGGTATCAAAAGAATACTGTGAGAAGTGTGAAAATTATGAATCAAACCTCATTGTCCATAAAGTTTTGAACACAGCCACTCATTCTTTCACCTGCTATTGCAGACTTGAGTAGTTGTGATAGAAAGTCTGAAGTATTTACTGTTAGGCCATGACAGAAAAAGTCTTCCAACCCTTGACTAATACATGGTTAGCATTAAGATACAGAATATTGGAGAGACTGACTACAAATGGAGAGAATGTTTTCAGTTTGTGTTTCAGCTGCTGATGTGGGTTGTCTACATAAGAGAGCAGTTCTTGGTATAATAGAGTATGTAAGTGCAGAGAGGGAAGGTTGTATGCCATTTTCAGAGTCCATAAGCATGAGGGTGGTACTTGAAGATCCAAGGAATAGTAGCATATGAGATATTCACTGTAAGCAGTTAATAAAGGAGGTTACAAAAAATATGGTGTAAGGAGAGAATTATGGGAACTGGCAGGTTTTTTTAAAAAAGATTTTATGCTATATGTATTTTACCTCATGTGGTAAATACGTATAGCATTTTACCACATGAGGTAAAATACGTATAGCATAAAACCTACTATTTTTAAGCACACCATTCTGTGATGTTAAGTATCTCACATTTTATGTAGTCATCACCAGGCATCCCCAGAATTCTCTTGCTCTATACACATTAAACACGAAACACAGGAAATTTCATTTCCCTGTTCTCAGCCTGAGGCAACCACCATTCTATCTCTATAAATCCAGCTACTCTGGGAATCTCATATAAGTGGAATCATACAATATTTTTCCATTTGTGACAGTTTTATTTCACTTAGCATAAGGGGAGGAATTTGGAAGGTGAAAACCAACAGAATAAAATACTAAAGTGTAGTGAAATAAGGATTAACAGATAATATTTATAGTGTATGGCATTCGGGACACAGGGCACCCAAGTTAATCCTTTCATGGAATGGGAGAAATAAAAATCAGATTGCAGTTGAAAAAAAGATGGGCAGAAAGGGAAGTAAAGTTTATTTTTTTGTCAGTGTAGAAGGAAGTGGGTGTGAGAAGTTGGGAATTACAGTGGTGGAGACGGGGCTTATTTTTGAAACTGAGAGATTTGACTGCTAAGTAAGATTGGGAATGGCTCTGGAAGGGGTTGAAAAGGAGCAGGTACGCTGAAGAGCAGATAAAGTGGAGTAAGAAAGCTAGAAGGAAAATTTACTGGTGAGAAAACTAGTAAGATTTTAGTGGCACAGCATTCTGGAAATTATTTATTCCTAATTGTATCTGTTCTGATGTGTTCATTGTTCGTATGATTTTTAAAATTTGTATTCATTAAAGATGACCAAGATAAAAAGGTGGAGACTCTGATGGCACCTTTGAAAAAGCAAGAAGTATTACCCTCCCACCAAGAGACTAAACATGAAAGTGGATCAGGAAAGAAGAAACTTTCATCAAAGAAGCAGAAGACAGAAAATGGTGACGTGTAGATACGTGTTTTATAAATGCTAATTCTAGAGATGTAATAGGATAGGGAGCCTGGAGATATCGTGTGCTTTTTCATTGCCAGTTTAATATGTGCTGTAACAACTGTAATTCTAATGTAAGTCTAAAATTTTCTTTAGCCTGTGGTTTTGTATTGCTTTGATAGAGTATAAGTATGTGATGAAAACATTTATGTGAAATTTTAAAATGGCAATACTTCTTATTATTGGCTTTGAAAAAAAAATAGTATACGAACTCTCTGAAGCAAATGTTTCTAAGTACTTGTACTTTTTGTATCACCTAAGATTAGGTCTGAAGCCGTTTACTAGATGCCGCATTGCCCTTCATTTCCTATTATTTTGTAAACAGTTCACATGTGTATATGCTAAGCATGCAAGTAAAAGTGACAGAGCAGTATTATACTTCTAGAATTTTCCAGGGTATAAACTTGGGTATAAACTATGTAGGTTAAATGTTAGCAATTTCCAAATAATACTGGGCTGTGATATCAACTGGTGCTAGAGAGTAGGAAATTTGGAAAGGGAAAAGGTGAAGTTCTACTTGCATTTTATGCCATCAAGCATCAGATATGAATGGAATATCTGAATATATTGGATGAAGTTAAATACAAGAAGTTTTAAAGAAAAGAATTACATGTGCAAGTTATTATGTTATTTTTTTAAAGGCATATGCAAAGATTTCCATCTGTGTGTAAAAGTATCTCTTTCTACCAAATATCAGATATAAACTCTTGAGTTCTTTATATTAAAATTAGGAACAAAATGAGGAGGCTTCCTTCCTCCACTTTTGAATGTTATTCTGGAAGTTTTGTCAAGTATATGAAAATGACAGCCATAACTGTTAGAAATGTGAAAACATCTACAAGGAACAATGACTGCTTTTTGTACTTCAGGTATTATAGGGACTTAATTAAAAATTATCAGTTATAATAAGAATTTAGCACAATATCAACATAAGTAAAATTTGTTTCCTTAAGCATTAATGCAGGGTAACTAGACTGTTATGTTAAAGCAGAAAAATTAAATGAGCTATTGAAAGGATTTCTAAGAAATTTGCATATACTGTTAGAGAAGCTATACTGCCCTTTTTTATTTTAATTTTTTTTTTTTGGGATCTTTAAGAGATAGGGCCTCACTGTGCAGTTCAAGCTGGCCTTTGAGCTCACTTTGTAGCCCAGACTTATCTTGAACTTGCAACAATCCTCCTGCCTCAGCCTCCTGAGCGCTGGGATTACAGGCATGTGCCACCAGGCCTGGCATTGGCCCATTTTTTATTTTTTTAGATGACCTAAATGATTTGCTTCAAAATAGTAATATTTAATTGTTACTAATTGAGTAAGAGTTTCTGCCTTGTTAAATGATGAGGTAGGGATTTTAAACCAAATTGAACTAATATTGGAGATTAGGAAATAAGTGTATTTATTATTAATGTGTGCTTGCATGTTTAATTATTTCTTTTTCATAACCCCAGGTAATTTGTGATTTTGTTGAACTTAAATTGCAGTGTTGGTAGATGAACCCGTTATTCATGCAAGTACTTCGATTTCTTTGATGGATAATGCTAACTCAAATCCTGTGGATAAGAGAGAAATGATTGATCTTATTAAACCTGACCAAGTAGAAGGGATCCAGAAATCTGGGTCTAAAAAACTGAAGATTGAAACTGACAAAGGTATTATACAGAACATCTTAATCTGTTTTATTGTAAAAGCATATTTTGAGTTCTGATGGAATCAGGTACAGTTTGTATTAGTGGTAAAAGATTTGGTAGTTTTCTAGTCCATCCTTAATTTTGTTGACTTGAATATTGGAATTTATTTTTTGTTTGTTTGTTTGGTTTTGTTTTTTTGTTGTTTTTTTTTCTCTAGTACTGGGACTCGAACTCACGACGTGGCGCTTGCCAGGCAGGCTAATTCACAACTGCTGCTTTTTGGTGGTGGTGGTGGTGGTGGTGGTGGATTTTTTTTTTTTTTTAATAAACCTTTACGTAGTGCATTTTTAGGTTAGGTTCAAGCAAAATTGAGTAGAAAGTAGAGTTCTCATATGCCTTTTACCCGACACATGCACACACCTGTCTAAAAAATTTACAAAGTAGTTGAAATGTTAGAAACCCAATGCTCTTTTGGTGTAATGGGTGGTGGTTCTTTTAGGAAGTATTTAATTTAATGATACGGTTGCATTTTGTATTAGCTTTCCTATTTCTGGGAGGTAATACCCAAAACCTTCAATTTAAAAGAGAAGAGGTTTAATTTGGCTCTCGGTTTCAGGGGATTCAGTCCATGGTCACCTGGCACCAAGGAGGAAATATGGTGGAAGAGTGGTGTGGCGGAGCAAAGATGTTCAGTTTCTGGTAGCCAGGAAGATGGGCAAGGGGGATGGTACCAAAGGGTAGGGATAAGACATAAACAGAGATATAGACCCCACAGTCATGCTTCCATTCCTTGCCCAGAGACACCCAAAAGTGCTTTACTAATCCCCTGGGTAGCTTTCAGGCCAATCTAGTTGATAATCTACCTTAACAGTCACACTTGTATATATTTGTTCTTTGCAGAATGAGATTTCATTTTTAATTACCTTAGAGCTTATTTTCTTACCTGTGGAATTCACTTTATGTATGTCTCAGGATTATTAAAGTTAAAAAAATGTTATGAATATATTCAATATAGATTCTAGCATGTTACAGATGCTTAAATGATATCCTTTTAAGAGGTGAGGGCATACTGTTATTTTAGTACTCTACAAACTTCTAGGTAATGTAATTATTCCATAATATAGATGATAAACATTGTTTTCCCTTTTAACTGAATCATTTGTTGAGCAGAGGTGTAAATATTTTCTCTTGGTAATTTACTTTTCAGTACATAAATTCGTGATGTTTATCTTTTCTGAAGTTCTTAGTTGTGTTTTCTAAATGCCAACACCTTCTCTTTTTTAATTAAGAAAATGCTGAAGTGAAATTTAAAGATTTTCTTCTGTCCTTGAAGACCATGGTATTTTCTGAAGACGAGGCCCTTTGTGTTGTAGATCTACTGAAGGAGAAGTCCAGTGTGATACAAGATGTTTTAAAGAAGGTAGGCGTATGTTTTTTTATTATGGGCATATTTGTAAGCAGTAATTAGAACTTCATCAAATAAGACTTCTACCAGAGCAATTAATTACTGTCTACTCTTGTCCTTAATATTTAGACCACATAACCATGTCTAAAAGTTTTAGAATGCCTTCACAAGTATTTCGTATATTCATACCTTTAATGTGTGCTGACTTAGTGAAGCATCTTTTGAATCATCTGATGCTTTAACAAAAGCCGGTTACTTAATAAGATGATTTTTAGGGCTTTGAAGTCTCTTAGAACTTGACTAAGCTGTGCACTTCGGTCTGACTACAAGTTTTGAAGTCAAGGTTGCATAATTTCTGGGTAGTGCATATGAAATGTTTTACAGTGTGTATTCCTGAGTAAATGTGGTATTTCTCTTTAACCACTTACCAGTCTAAATATTTAAATATTTAATTTGGTCACAGGATGACCAAATACTGCATATTTTTTCCATTCATTTTATAGGATAATATAATAGGAAATATAAAAACAACCAATTTTATCAAGTTTACTTAATAGTTTTTCTATGTATTATATATCCTAAAACATTCAACATCTGCTCTAGCAATGCTTGGGAATAGTCAGTATGTAAATAAATGCACTGAGTGATGTGTATTGGGGAAAACTGAGAAGTGGTTACAAATAAAGATTTGGATGGCAGAGTGCATAAGGTTGATAAAAAGTTTGTAAAAGAAAAATACCTCAAAACAAAAAACATGTATGGAGTTAGTTATTCTTATGAGTCATAATGTGTGTACTGTGTATTCGCTTTTGGGAAAAGTGAGACGTTTTCAAAGTTTAGTAAGATAAGATGACATCAAATATGATATTCATTGTTACGATAGATGACTCTCCTTATTCTGAAAACTTGCTGTGCACACACGGGTACCACACCCACTCACTTAGCTGTTTTAATCCTTGAGTGGTTTAATTTTTCTAAGTAAAGACTACCCTTGTCTGAGTCATTGCCCCTTGTCTGGTGACCTGCAGTAGTCTCCAAATTGATGTTTTTCTTTTCCTCTTGGTCCTCTAGTCTGTTTTCCCCACATAAATGCGAGGTGACCTTTACAAGATGAATCACATTATTCAGTTTTAAAAACCCTGTTGTAGTTTTCTCTTCATACTTAGTGCATAATCTCAATTCCTTAACAGGTCTGTGACTACTTTCTACAGCCTCGTATAATGAAATTTCCCCTTCACTACATTTCACGCTTACTAGTTCTTGTCTGCTTCATCTAGCTACCAAACTTTTTTTCTTTTGTCTCCTTACTTACTCAGTTTCTTTCTTTACCTAATTCCTCTTTCCTTGAATATCAAGGAAATAACCTAACCAGAAGTTGTAGTATAAATTCTTCTGCCTGTTATTTTTTCTCATAACTGTGTACTTTTTTCCATAACATTGACTATAGCATTGTAAGTCTCTCCATACATCCATGTATCAACAGTGCATTTTACAAGTCTGTGACATTCTGTGGTATAGTATGCTGGCTAGACTGTCTCAGTGTGTTGCCAGAGATGGCTCAGAGTAAACAAGGAGTTCAAGGGCAATCAATAAGTGTAAATCTGTGATTTTGAATACAAAGTTAGGTGGTTCTGTTGTAAGGATCTTTTGTGACATTCTTGAAACGTTTGTCTTTTGGTTCACTTTATTATAATTGGATGGAAACCTTTCTAAAGAGTACTTACATTATTTGGGAGGACTGGGAAAAGCTCTTCACGGAGAAAAGCCTTCAGGTGAAATAGCCACATTCACTACCACTTAGCTACTGTGCCTGAGGTTGTTGCTGGTAGCCTATGGGAGTAAAGGTAATCATTTTGTTGTCTGAGACACCTTTGAACTCCAAATACTGGATGGCAAATCAGACTGCCCTTGACTTCTCTTCTAGGTAGGCCTACAAGGAAGTCAGGAACTTGTTAAAGATAGCATTTGATATAGGGCAGGTGTTTTGAAAATACTTATATTGTGTGCCCCCACACAAAAAAAATTTGGATTTTTGATTAAAATCTTCTTGTTATGATTTCTCCTGGATGGTTCTGATCTCTACTGCAGAGATTTTGCTCTTATAGGTGTCTTGTATCTGAGAAATACTAGTTTCTGCCTTTTGCTGCCATAAATACTGACTTTTTAATAGATTTCAAAGTCTTAAATGTAAATGGATCTTTATACATAATACATACTACTTCAGAGTAAGGAGGAATGTATTGACAGAAAAGTTACGGGACTTGCTAAACATAGTGACTAAATATAGTGGCTAGTAAAGGATAGCTATTTCTTTTAGTAACTGGATAGATTGTGTTGACAGTCATATTTGTGAACACACTGTAGAGGAAGAGAGAGTGAAATGATTGTGGAAATTTAGAAAGTTGTTTTAGGCATCTGGTGTGCCATTTAAGTGGGTATAATCATTTCACAGTTAAATATGTATTTCTCTGGAGTTGAAGGAAGTTTATAATGGGAATGATTTGGAAATGTCATCCACTATCACCAGTACATATGGATGTGGAAAATGATGAAAACTTGAGAATAAGCCCTGAGAAGCACCATGTTTAAAGGTCAAGGAAAGTCACCGCAGAGGTTACTAAGGAGGAGCAAGAGAGAAACATCAGGAGATACGGAATCCCAGAATTTAGGAGCATACAGAATTCATGGCTTGGAAGAGCCAGCAGTGGTGCATACTCCAGAGAGTTTTACCCCAGAAGGTAAAACTTGAAGACCTGGCTTTAGTATTCTTAGTGTAAGCAGTTTCATTTTAGAACTAGACTATAAATAAGTAAATGAACAGGAAGGTGACGGTGAGTGTCCACTAAGAGTAAACCTATCTGAGAAGAGAAAAGGGGTAGGGGGGAGTTAGGGAGATATTGCAGAATTGGAGATGAGCTATTATGCTGTTGGTGTGCACAAGCCCTTGTGTATAAGCTGCAAGACAGTTGTTCTATATGTGGAATGTAGGTTAAGCTCTGGGCTCTAGTATCAGGGTTTTTTAATTAAATCTGGGCTCTGCCACTTTTAGTTTTATAGCTCTGAATAAGTTCCTTAACTTTAGTGCCTCTATTTCCCCATTTCTAAAATGAGAATGAGGCTGGGTGTGCCATGCACACCTGTAATCCCAGCACTTAGGAGGCTGAGGCAGGAGAATTTCTGTGAGTTCGAGGCCCCTACAAAGTGAGTTCAAGGCCAGCCTAAACTGCATAGTGACCTGTCTCAAAAAGACAAAAAAAAAAAAAAAAATCAAAAGAAAAAAGGAATGATAATCAGGCTTTGAGAATTAAATGAGATAATGTGTCTTTGGTGCTTAGAATTCCTAGCGTATAGTAAATGTTAGTTGACAGTGTGGTTACTAGTAAGAAATATTTATTATTGAGTTTTTAAGCATTGATATTTAAGTGTACTTGTCTCAATTACATGATTTTTTAAACTTTTGTTTTGACTTGATGCTATATAGCAAGACGGACTACTAGACACGCTGATTTTTTTCTCTACATTCTGTCTTCCTTAACTCTGGTTTTATTATAGCATTTCTGTTTGTCAGATACTCATAATATATAACATCTGTGAGTATGATTGCCATACTTGGTTTAGCCTTAACTCTATAATTTAATGATGGGTTGAAAGCCTGATACTAGGCTGCTTTTACTTATCTTGGTTGGCTAAAGTTGTTTTTTCTTGAATTTCTTAAATAAAAATGTCATGGTTTTTATCTTTCCAAAATTTTGACAAATTATGATACTTTTTTGTTTTTGTCCTTGAATGATAGTTATACTATTTTCCTTTTAAAACTGTTACATAGAGCTTATTTTAATGTTTTGCTCTCTTTCATTGAAAAATTTTAAGGTATTTATTGTTTTACTATTCTCTGTATTCATGTTGCTGGGCAGAGGTCTGAAGCCAGTGTAAATTTTGTCCTTTTTTTCATGTACTTCTATAAAATTGCACTCTTAAAAACATTTTTGTTCTTTTGAGGGTACTAGGGATTGAACCCAGAGCCTCATACATGCTAGGCAAGCCCCTAAAACAGTGATGACAAACCTTTCAGAGACCAAGTGCCCAAACTGCAACCCAAAACGCACTTATTTATTACAAAGTGCCAGCACTGCAGTTAAACTTGAATATTGAGGTTTTAGTTTAGAAAAAAAAAATAGCCATTTTGATAAAATCTCCATCATAGAGGGCTTACCATGTTTTGCTGTGCACACTGAAGTTTGAAAGCTGGCAGATTATTTGTTTTAGAAAGATAGTTGCAAAAACTAAGACACATGGAATGATATTTCCTCATTTTCCCTTCAAGAAACTTACCTTTCAGTTTCACCAAGTTTGGCAACACTTTTATGGTTGGTGTCAAATACCATCTGACATTTGATGGGTGACAAACGACTTCAGTCACTCTAAATGACTGTCGAAGCTTCTTGGAATGATCTTCCACTGCCTGCATTCAGTTTGACTTTTTCTGCTGTCGTCACTTTTTGATGTTCAATACTTGGAGCCTAAACACAAAATTAAAATAAAAAGAAGCACCCAATGCAAATCTATCCCCGTATCAAAAATAGGTAACACTATTAGTTAACACTAAAGAATTGGATATTCCTTGAATCAGCAGTCTATGGACGTGAGTGTTAGCTGGGCTTCCTCTTGAATTTTCTGACCGCTAGCACAAAGGGGAGGGGGCAGTGTTTCACTGACTACCAGTTAATGGCCTATTCTGAAAAAGGCATCTGAGTGCATTTTCTACCTTGTGGGGGCTTCTGCTAAAGTCACAGTCAGCCCAAGCAAATATATAAATCAGTATATCTCTTTTTCTTCCTTTTCTCTCTCTCTCTTTCTCTCTGTGTCTCTCGCTAGCTGTCTCTCTTTGTCTCTCTCTCTGTGTCTGTCTGTCTTCCCCCATCAGCCCCTTCTTGTGAGCATACTCACTGGCCATGCAAAAGCTCCACAAGTCACAGCTAATGAGTGTTACTGCTTCTTTCCTAGCATGTGTATGGCCGGCCCCCTGTGGATGCTGTTATCCAGTGCTTGGACCCTAGGACAACTTGGGTCATGTGTCACAGGTTCGCCACCACTGCCCTAAAACATTCTTTGGGCATTCAGCAAATATTTGTTTTTCCTTTTTTTTTTTTTTTTAATTGGATTCTCCTGCAGTCTGTAGTACTGTGTATACATCCCAGAGGATGAAGTTTCTTTAAAATTTGGCAGTAATTATTATAATATGGCATAACAGTTAACCCTCTTACCAGTTTTCTCTTAGATTCAACATACTTTGCAGTCATTAGATTCAAGTCAACATTTATTACTAGAAAGTTTTGTATGTGCTTGGAATAAGCGAAATTGTTTGTGTCAGGTTAGGTGTATGTTGGTTTTCCTTTTCCTGTATTCCTTACCTTTGATATTTTCATGCTTAGAAAATAATGCTTAATCAAAGCAAACTTTATTTCTGCTTTGTATTTTCTGCTGCCATTTTACTACCCTGTCCTACCCTTACTGTTTTCAGCACCATGTGCATTTCTGATTTTTGTTTCCTGATTAGGTTATTTCTGGGATGATGTTACTTTTTACTTTCACCATGAGATTTACCATTTTATATTTCACTCTTTCTGTGGTCTTACCTTTTCTCTGAGCTCTTTCTTATGAGCTCTGTTCTTGGCTTTTGTTTTCCAGAAATGACTGCTAGGTTAAATTTTTTTAAATCATGGTGATAATTTTATTGGAATTTTTGTCAGCTCTCTGACAACCTTTTGTTTGTGTGTTTCTTCACTTGCCATTTGTACTATTTTCTTTTTAAAAATACATTATATAGGCCAGGTGTGGTGGCGCACACCTATAATCCCAGTACTCAGGAGGCTGAGGCACGAGGATTGTTGCGAGTTGGTGGCCAACCTGGGCTACAAAATGAGCTCAAGGCCAGCCTGAACTGCATGGTGAGACCTGTCTCCAAAGAAAAAACATTGTACAGACCCTGTTTTATTTTATTGTTTACGAGCACTCCTCTCCCGAGTAAGCGGGATGTATTAACCCTTTTGGATGATCTCTGTGCTAGAGGTTAGTAATGGCGAACAGCTAGTGCCTCGCCTGTGTTATCCTGGGGCTCTGAACATGGATGTGTCCTTTTGCCCCTTGTTTCTTCCCCTAGAAAAGACCTGGACCTTTGTACAGGAAATCTCTTTTCTTCGCTGGCTAGCTGCTCACTTTGAGTAAAATTTGTGTGATTTTTTTTTTTTTTTCCCTTTTCTTCTTCTTCCTTCCAAGTTTTCCTGCCAAAAAAGTTCTTGCCTTAAAACTGTACACATGTTCCTCATGTCAGATGGGGGCTGATTGGTTTTTCCTTTTAGCTGTGCTTGTTAAATTTAGAGAATTCTTTTATGCATCCATTGCTCCTCCACTAACCTGGGCATATTTGGGCAGTGTGACTGAATGCCAGTACTTACTCTGCATTACTTTTGTAGTCTTTTCTGGTGTTACAGGTTAAAGAGGACTATTTTGGTGGTGGTAAATTGCCTTTTAGTTTCATATTCTTTCTTTTAATCTAGAACGAAAAGGAGACAAATTGCTATTTTTACTCTGGGTTTAAAACAAGAAGATCTATAATTTTTTGTAAAACTCTGCTTCCTGATTGATTTTTGTGCTGTTGGAAATTTGAGACCGTAGGTTACAGTGACTTTTCCGACTTACTTTGCTGGCCAATTTTTGGCAGTCATTTGACTTTACAGAGCTCTGCACTGGCCCAAGAACACTTGATGACAGGTACTTCATTCTTGTAACTTTTTCTAAGTTGGTGTAATTTTGCAATTATAGTCAACTAAAGGAGAATTGACAGCGCTTCTGCATCAGCTTCAGGAGAAGGACAAGTTGCTCGCTGCTGTGAAGGAAGATGCTGCTGCTACGAAAGAGCGGTGTAAGCAGTTAACCCAGGTGAGTTACTCTTGTGTTCAAGGGATGCACCCCAAATTAGAATCAATGAAAGGTTTAAAAATTGTCCATATGCATTGAATGCATTACTTGTATACTAAATTTACCCAACACAATCAGTTTTTAGAATTTTTGGAGGGAGGTATGTCACTCTCATGATATTACACCCATAATGGGGTTATGAATTTAAAATAACAATATATATTAGGTATCCTATTTTCAGAACAGGAGCATACTTTTAGAAGCATAAGCTTGTTTTAGCTGAGTATTATGGCACACACCTGTAATCCCAGCACTTTTGAGGCAAAGCAAGAAGATGCAGAATTCTAAGCCAGCCTGGGCTACATAGTAAATTCGAGGCTATCTTGGAACTTGGCAAGATCCTGTCTCAGAAAAACAACAACAACAACAAAAAAAGCATTTGGAGCTTCTGTGGTAAATATTTATAATTTTTAATCAAGTTCTTAAAACTCCAGAGTTTTATAGGAAAAACAAGCTTGTAAAGTACACAGAGCAAGAGGAGAGAATTGAAACTGGAAAATGTGATCTCTTTCCTCAAGTATTTATTTCTTCTTTTAAGGAGTAAGTGCAATAGAGTATATGAATTTCTAACTCCTTCACCTAGCTATTAGAAGACATCAGAAGAACAGATGTTCTTGTCTGATAGAAATCCTTCATGTGATCTGAAGTAAAATTAAAAAGTCAGTGGGAGCTGGGCATGGTGGCCCATGGCTATAATCCCAGCACTTGGGAGGCTGAGGCAGGAGGATCATTGCAAGTTCAAGGCCAGCCTGGGCTACAAAATGAGCTCAAGGCCAGCCTGAACTGCATAGCGAGACCTTGTCTCAAGAAGACAAAAAAAAAAAAAAAAATCAATTTTTTAAAAAAGTCAGTGGGAAAACTTGGTTAGATTAGCCAGCGTTCTCATAAACATGTTTCCTTGCAATTAAAAATTTTGGTGTAATTTTTTTTTGTGTGACTATCATGTTTTGACTGTTTAAAAACTAAAACTAGCAAACTTTATTTTTTGATAATTCATTGTGCTATACATTTAAGACGTAAGTTTGTAAAAAAAAAAAAGATGTAAGTTTGTAAAACAACTTGCAAATAAAATTACATAATTCTTACAGACAACCATAAATTATATAAAAATCTCAAATTTTGTCAAATAGTTTTGTAGAGCAGACACATGAGTTTGTCATACCTGCAGAAAACATTAAGATTGTTTGCTTACAATCCTCCTTGATGATAAAACTTTTACTTTCCTTTATCCCAAACTTCCATAATTTATGTATCCTTATTTCTTCTTCTAGAACAAATGCCTCCCCATTACGCTCCCTTAGACATTTTTCTATATACCAAAAGAAAGCCAGTGCCTGGGAATGCTAACTAACTGTTTTGCCTTAAAGTATTCTTTATTATAATCAATTTAGAATGTTGGATTTATTCTAGGCTCAGTCTTTAACTCTTAACCAGAAAATGCATTTGGAGTAAAAGTAAATAAAGTAGTGTTGTGTTTATCAAGAGAATTGTGAAGAACAGGTGATCTTCACATCAAACACAAAAGACTTCTTTTAAAAAAAAGTTTAACTGTTTTCTAAGCAAGCACTTAACTTTTTTAGCATTTATGATCATTTTACTAATGTGAGAAGAGCTTTCTTAGGTTATAAGCTTATAGCACATTTTTAATAACAAGTTTTTCATGTCTTTTCTGGTTTACTCTTACAGGAAATGATAACAGAGAAAGAAAGAAGCAATGTAATTATAGCAAGAATGAAAGATCGGATTGGAACATTAGAAAAGGAACATAATGTATTTCAAAACAAAATCCATGTCAGTTATCAAGAGACTCAACAGATGCAGATGAAGGTATAGTTTCATTCTTTGAAAGTAAGATGTAATGTGTGCATTCATTTAATTAGCAAACGCATTGTCTCACTAGTGTAAAACCTGAAAGAGTTAATTTAAACTGGGAGGTATGATAGACATTGTGAAATGATAGGAAAACACACGAGGGTAGAGGGCAACTGGGATGTGGGAAAGGAGAAGGGAAAGAAGGAGAAATTTTGTATGTATGCATATACATGATTATATGTATATACATGATAGTTGACATAGTTGATCTACAGTCTTCTATTTCTTTGCTGAAAGAAACTGTCAGAGTCCTTGATTGATCAATATTGCATGTCTCTATCTGTTTTCATGAGAAACCACTTTGAAGATACCAATATGTAATACAACAAGCATTGTTAATTCCCTACCACTTTGTTTGTAACTCTGTATTGTCTGTACTGTTCTTTTGCTATTTTGTAAAAGGTTGTCTGTCAATGTTTTACTCTTTTTATTTTAAAAAAAAAAACAATTTCAAAGAGTTACTGGCCCAGAGTTCAATCAAGGGGAATATTATTATTAAGCCTAGTGTGGCAAAGAGATTCAAGCCACATTCTTCATTATTTTATCAGGTGAGTTTGGTGGCAAACAACTGTAATCCCAGCAATCTGGGGGGCTAAGGAAGGAGGATCCTGAGTATGAGTCCAGCCTGGGCCCAGTGACTTAGCAAGACCCTGTCTCAAATTTTCTTTAAAAAAAAAAACAAAACTGGGGATGTAGCTCAGGGCAAAGGCCCTGAGTTTAATGCCCAGTACCCTAATCCTCAAAAAAGTCTCTCAGCAGTGATATGGGGGTAGGGAGGAAAGATGATTCACCGGTTTTCAGCTAAATGAAGAAAATGAATGCTACATGCACAAAGACAGTAAGAAATGAACCACCTGAAATACTCAAGGAAGATAGGTGAAAGACTATGAACTAACAAAAACCTGAAAAGGTAATTTAAGCTGAAGCCATATAAGTCATCATTCACTATCCTTTTTCTCCTCCGACGCAAATCCCATCTAACTCACTCTAATGTATAATCCAAATCATCTCTTCACTGTCAATATTTACTTCAGGCCTTGCTCTCCCCATCACTGGAATTCCTTCAGAATCGTTCCACCTTCCCCTTATTCCATTCTCCATATAGGTGCAAGAGTAACAGTTAAAACACCAGGTGAGTCTCATTTCAGGCTTGCCTAAACTCCTTCACTGGCTTCCCTGTCTTCATGTAAGACAGTGCTCCTCTCTGCATCTGTAGACCTTCCTGCTTCATTCCAGTTCTGGTTCCCACTTACCACAACTCTTCCCACGCATCTCATAACTGTGAACACTGCATAGAAACACCTGGAGAGTAGTATTTCAAAAGTAACAATCCCAAAAGAGACCCACTGAACATTAAAGAATCATGACAAGTTACTCTTCTATCCAGGGTCCCTTTTTTCATCTCAAATTACAGCTGATTTAGAAGACTAGTGCAATCTATGTATTAGACTTACGGAGTCTTTTCTGTCAATCCTTCTCTTGCCCACTTCCCATATCCAGTGCCCCCAACTATCCATCACAATGTGCTTATTCTTCTACTTCCAGCCCGCCTACTTCATCCCTCTTACCATCTCAGATATAACCTGTGCTAAAGTAAAATTCCTGTCTTCATCAGGTTATTATTTTCCAGTTTAAGGTGTTATTTCCCTTATACTTGAATCCTTTGACTTCTTTCTCTCACCTAGTCTACAAATTGGTCTGAACCTTAAAGATACTTGATTTGTAGTTACTCTTGCTTTCATTTCTTAGCTAGCTATCGTTTCGTAGATATCTAAGTTTATTTCATAGTAGGATAATTGCAACCCCAATTTATTGATAGGTTTCTCTTTTCCAGCCTCACTTATAATTGATACCTAATTTTCTTTTGTAAAATATTGCTTTGATCATTATCAGTAGTCTGCTAAAATTTTTATTTTTTGCTGCTATAAAAGTTCCATTGTTTTCCACTGAGATATCACCAATAATAAAGGAGCAGCTGACACTGTTGTCACATTGTTGCTCTGTCTGATGCCTCTAGCTTTTATTCATCACACTCCTCCATCTTCCCATTCTGCAGCCATTATAGATACTCTCTTTCATATCAGTCAGGTTATTGAAGAATTGATTTTCCTATCCTGAGTAATTACTGCTTACTGTTCATTTGAAAATTAAATACTTAGAACAACATCTTTACTAAAGGTGAAAGACATTTAAATGATTTAATTTTTTTACTTGATTACTTTTAGAAGTCAGAATGTAGGTTCCATATAAATTCTCTGAAAAATAGAAATACTGTCTCCTAACTAAATTAAGATTACTAATATCTATTAATTCCTCCAAAAAGAATAATTTTGTATATTAAAGTAAGACATGTTCTTACGTGAATATATGATTCATTGTTCTTTTCTGATTCTGTAATTTAGAAATTAAAAAATTGGATATCAGGAAAGAATTAGGAAGAGGGGCAAGGGAAGTTACTGGTTAATGGATATAGACTTAATTCTCTTTTTTCTCTTTTCTCTCTTTTTTCCCTGTTCTTCTTCTTCCTTCCCTTCTCCTTCTCCTCCTGTTTATTTGTTGAGACCCTACATAAGAATCTCCCTGTATAGTTCATGCCTGCTGTGAACTTACTACCATGTGTAGCCCAGGGTGGACTTCAACTCACAGCAATCCTCCTGCCTTTCCTTCTCGAGTGCTAGGATTATAAGCATATGCCACCACGCCTGGCTAGGGTTTCATTTTAAGAGTTACAGAGATGAATGGTACTGATGATTGTACAATAGTATGGCTATATTTAATATGACTGAACTTTATATTTGAAAGGGATTAACATTGTACATTTTATGTTACATATATTTACCACAAAAATAACTAGATGTCATACTATTTTAGATTGGGCATGTTTAGGGTGGTATGGCCATAGACAAAGTCATACTAATTTAGCAAGTAGATTTTTTTAAAATTAGGTTTTATTGGTACATTTTAGGTATACATAATTATCACATTCATCAAAGAGAATTTATACCTGTATATGGTATAACTTGGTTTTTTTCCCCATTCCCCTACCCTTCCTTCAACCCTTCTTCCCCATTTATAGGGCCTTGTTTCCATGTTTTTCTTCTCTTTTCATTTTTACTTTTACTTTTCCCTTTCCTTTCCTCATCTAGAAAGTAGACTTTTGTGTCATTATTTTTATTATGGCTCAGTTTGTAACATAAGTTGAACATATTATTTTCCAGGATAATAACAGGCTTAATTCTGTGAGAGTCTGAGTAGGAATTCCAAAATCAACTTTTAGCTTTGGAACTTTGTGTGTTTATTTTGTATTTTCAATATGATAATAACTAAATAGTTAATTGTATTCTTGACTGCTGTTGCAGCTTCTCTTTACCTTGGATTCTACAACAAAAATGCAATTTTGGCCAGATGTGGTGATGCATGCCTATAATCATAGGTACTTAGGAACGTGAAGCAGAAGGATTCTGCCTAAAAATTCAGATCCAGCCTGGGCAACTTAGCAAGACATATCTCAAAATAAAAAAGACTTGGTAATGTAGCTCAGTAGCAAGTGTGAGGCCTTAGTGTAATCCTTAAAATCCACAAAACAACTTCCTTTAGATGTGTTTATATGTATTTGAAAAGAGCAATCTAAATTTTATTCTACTGATGCTTTTTAGTATTCTGATTATAATGAATTTTTTTAAAAGGTAGCTTTGTCAACCTTTGTTTTCTAAATCTTATATGTGTGAACTAGTTTCAACAAGTTCGTGAGCAGATGGAAGCAGAGATAGCGCACTTGAAGCAGGAAAATGGTATACTGAGAGATGCTGTCAGCAACACTACAAATCAACTGGAAAGCAAGTATGTTTCCAAATACTTCCATTTTAGTTAAATGGCAGAATATTTTGTTAAATCATTAAAATGGTACTTATTAATTGGTTAGACTTTTCCTATATATGCTTCTCAGATTGAGTTACTTTTCAAAAAAATTCTCTTGCTGTGCGAAGAGCATTAGCTATAAACTCTTATATATGTATGTTATAATTTATATATTACATATATATTGCTTAATATTACAATTAGTGGAAAAGTCTACAGATTTGTGAGGCTGAATTTGCAAGTTTTAAACCATTTATTCCTACTAGAGTAGTCCTTAAACTTTATTATTCAGTATATCACCTGGCATGCTAACTTTTTAAAGTTTATTTTATTTTATTTTAAAGAAAATTAAAAAACAATAACAAAATAGCAACACAGACAAAAACAAAACAAAGCAAAAACAATGAAAATGATAACGGGCTTTAAACACAAAATGATAGGAATTAACAGTGGTTGTTATGTCTTGTTATCTTCAACGAAGTTGCTCAGATTACCAGCTGTAAGAACAGAGATTGATCAAAGTGTTAAAAGCGAATAAAAAGTAATATAAAAAAAATTAGAAACTATGCAGAGCTTCACTAAACAAGATGGTAGGAATTCACCAATGGTCTCTATATTGCCTACTGTTGTCTTCAAATTAGTTGTTCAGATTACCAGATATAAGCATGACATGCTAACTTAAAAAGCATTCAATCCTATGAGTAAAAGTTTTTCTGATCTGCTGACCTAAGGTGGAGCTCAGGAATCTGCATATGAAGACACGTTCCTTTTAACAGGGCACGTTTGGTTTTGAGGCTATTCTTTGAGAACCAGTATCCTAGAGAGGGTAGTACTGTCCTTGCACAGAGGGAGAATTCTAACTGGTTGACTTTAATAGGATTTCAGAAGGTCAGTTTGAGGGTGATACTATCTGTGCTCACAAGTTTGTGGTTATCCATTTTTCTTGATATTTCTTTGCAGTTTTAGAATTTATATAATTGTCATTGGAATTATTTGGGAATTACACTCAGCCAAACAAGTACTTACTTGTGATCTTTTTCATTTCTTTGTAAATGGAATTATTAGCTCAGCAAGATTAATAAAATGTTTTATTTTATATGTGTTTGTAGTAATGGATGGTGCCTAATCCAGTTACTGTTTTCAGGCAGTCTGCAGAACTAAATAAACTACGCCAGGATTATGCTAGGTTGGTGAATGAGTTGACTGAAAAAACAGGGAAGCTACAACAGGAGGAAGTCCAAAAGAAGAATGCTGAGCAAGCAGTTACTCAGTTGAAGGTAATACATCCCCACTTCTATGTATCATTTTGTGAATAATGTAGATATTTAATTTGTGAACTAAGTATGTAGATAGGTTTGAGAAATAAAGTTCAAGGCTTATTAAGAACCATAGCTCTGCCTGTGTAGCAATGTGTGACCTAATGAAATAATTAAATACAGGCTTGAATTGAAGCTAAAGACTGGAAGTATGAAAAATGAAATTAGCTAACTGACCAGTATAAATAAGTGATAGAATTTCATTTTATGTATAGGGGTTAGGGCCTACATGTACCAGGTAAAAATCATGTAGTTAATATTACTTTTTGTAACATGTTATCACCTTTAATTTGAATTTCTCAGTTAGTCCAGTGAAACTTGTTTTCTTTCAGCACTTGAATAGATGGGTTTTCCTTTGGTTGAGCATAAGATTTTAGGTACTGACCCAGTAGCTTGCATTCAAGTCATGTTATACAAAAATTATATACTTTGTCTTCAGACACCGGAATGGCACTTGGTACAGTAAAATGCTTATACTGTGAAGAGATGCATAGGATGGCTCAGGATGACCACAGGGGGAGCAGATTGATTTCTCTCATCTTGTTTGTGCTCTGGATGCACTCATGCAGCTTATATGCTAATGAGTAGAATGAGGAGCATCGTCTATTCCTCATTATGATTTATATCTTGATGTCCTTCAAGAGCCTCATGTCCTCATAGGCAAGACTTTTGGAAGGCATTTAAGTTATGAAGGCTGTATAGCTGACTTCCTGTTACGAAGTGAAGTCTGGTTGGAAGAGGCAGGTCCCTGGGGGCATGATTTGGAAGGATATAGCTCCTCTCTTCACTTTTTGCTTCATATCCACCATAAAGTGAGCAGCTTTTCTTCCACTGTGCCCTTCTCTCATGCTCTTTCCTCATTGGAGCTAACCAACCATAGACTGTAATGTTAGCTAAAATAAATCGCTCCTCCTCTAAGTTGTGTGTGTTGGGTTTTGTGTCAGCAAGGAAAAAGTGACTGAGACACTCCCTTTATGAGGAGAGGATTTGTTGAAGATACAGTTAAATGAAACTGAAATGTAACCTCACTATACCAGACAGATTCCCATCTAGATCACAGACAGTGAGACCTTGAGAGCATGAATGTGAAAAGATAAAGGGCTTGGGACTGGGAAGTGATAAGGGGATTTAAAAGACTTTGAGACTTTCCTTGAAGTTTTCTTAGATCCTTATTTAAAGTTGATTTTGCAGGTGGATTTACTGCTGGCTTTGTAGATATGAAGTCTGTCCTTCACAGATATGGATGGATGGATGACCTTAAAGACTACAGTCATAATTGGAGTATTGTACAATAAACATATATATAGCTCAAAATATGGATTTTTAGTAGTCACTGAGATTTAGCAATGACGATAGCATCCTGTCTTTTGGACACTTAACAGCTGAAAAAAGATTAATGGGGAACAGGTGGATCAGATACGTACATAGTAGTAGCTATCTTGATCTAAGAGTACTAATACTGCATATTGCATTTTTTAATATCTTTTGTACTGGAGGACAGGATGGCTATAACTGATAGATAAATAGCAGCTGGTCTGTATTTATCTGTCTTAAAAAGTCAGAGACTAGTTGCAGTAAGCAACTATAAGATACAACACTACAGGTAAAAGATGCTTTTTTCTTTTTTGCAAAATAGAAATCTTTTTGTTTGTGGTGATTTTTATTTGCCCCCTTTTTAAATATCAAGGTTCAACTCCAAGAAGCTGAGAGAAGGTGGGAAGAAGTTCAAACCTACATCCGGAAAAGAACGGCAGAACATGAGGCAGCACAGCAAGGTAAGGGGAAGAGGTATTCATGTGAGCTATCTGTAATTTGGGGTAAAATTTCTTACCTTCTCCATCTGTGAAGAAAGTATAATGTGGCATTTTAGTTACAGTTCAGTAAAAAATAACTTTTATCCTTCAGATTATCTTTATTTCTTTGACCTTATTTGGGGTTTTAAAATGAGAAACTTACAAACTTTTTTTTCAGTTTTTATTTTTTGTTAGTATATATTTAAAGTATTTGATGCTTATATTCCTGTGAGGAGTTGGTATATGTATGTACACACATCTCAGTTCTCTTTCATCTCTTCTCCCTCCCCAGCCATTCCCTCCCTCCATTTCTCAATTCCGTTCTCATTTGAAGAAAATCTGTCTTATTGTATATCTTATTTTGCTCTTTATATTTTGAGTTTCTCCTACTAGCTTTTTCTGAAGCGGTAAATTATAGGCAAAATTATAGTACATAATAAAAGTAATGGGAATGTAGCATTGTGAGTTTTTTTCCTTCTTCTCCCTAGCTTTTCCTTTTTGTTTCCTTGATTAACTCTTAATTTTATTTTTTGTTATTGGGAAAAGACTCATTTTCTATGTTGTAAAGAGAAAAATAATGAGAATGTTACTGTTTTAAGTAGTTTACATGAAACTGTCTACTTAATAAATGCTAACTTTTACTGTTCATTTCTTCCTAGTTTCATAGACCCACATGGGTGATACGGGAACTTGTATTATGAGTCTTGTGTTTTCACCTCTCCCTTTCTCCCATAGAGAAGGGACCTAGCTAGAGAGAATATACTTCCCAACAGCAGACTAGACAGAAATTTGGCTTCTTAGACCTTTTATTTCTTCTGATTCTCCTGCCCCATGGACCATTCCTCTTCTTTAATATCTAAATGTACATAAGATAATTCAAGATGTTTCTTTTGTATATAAAGTTTGTATTCATGTTAAGATAGCTTATTTTTAAATTACTATTTTTTATTTTATATATGGAGCACAGAAATTTTGCTAAAAGGATCATAATGATATATAAGACTATCAATTATATAACTATAGACAGTAAAACCTCGCCCTTACCAATATATACTGTATATAAATTATATAACTCTAGACCAGTGGTGGCGAACCTATAGCACATGTGTTACTTGCTTTTAAGACAAGAGATGTTAATGTAGGAGTTGTTTTTTCTAAACTAAAACTTCAATATTCAGGTTTAATGCAGTGTTGGCACTGCAATAAGTGGGTTTTGGGTTGCATTTGGGCATGCATCTCTAACAGGTTCATCACTGATCTAGACAATGAAACTTCACTTTTATCAGAAGCATTCACTTGGGAAATTTACCTTTTACTTTTAGTGTTTGGCATCTTTTATTTTTTTGGTGTTACTGGGCATTGAACTCACGGAGTGCTGAGCTATATCCCCAGACCTTTTTAAATTTTAAGACAAAGTCTTGACAAGTTATCTGGGCTGGCCTTGAACTTGCAATCCTCTTGCCTTAGCTTCTGAGGTAGCTGGGATTGTAGGAATGTGTCACCATTCCTTGCTGTACTCTGTATTTCAAACTAAACAGTATTGCTGTAATATGACTTTCTATTACAGAAGAAGAGAGCTTTATTCCTCCACATCATTATTCTCACCTGTCTCTCATTGCTCTGCTATGGCTATACTTACTTTTTGTTTATATCAGTATTTGCTTTTATTATTGTGATTGTATAATGGAATGCTAAACCAAGATACATGTTAAAACTGTTGTTCTTTTCTTGAATATTTATTTTGTGGTACTAATTTTTCCTAATTTTTTCACCTGCCTTATCTTTTTTTATTGCTTAAAATTTTAAGCAATAAAATTAAATAAAATTAAACCTTTCTGAGCACACTCCCCTTAGCTGCTGCCTCTCAGCATACAAGGTACTAGACAGAGAGTCTAGCAGTTTTTCTTGGTAGTACTTCCTCCTGAAATCTTCGGTTTTCCTCCTGTAGTACAAGTGGTACCTTGGTTCACAAACGTAATTCTTCTCACAATTCTGGTTGTGAACCGAATTGAATGAGAGCCTAATCAAATTCAGTGGGTAGGTTCAGTGTTGATCTTACAGGGAAATTTGATTCTGTTTGTGACCAGAAACATGGAAAGAGTTACGTTCGTGAACCAAGGCAACACTGTATTTGTTGCTTCCTAAATTGGTTTCATAGCAATCCTCTGAGACTTGCTTTGTTTTGTTTTTTGTCTTTCTTCTCTTTGTTTTGGATCCAGAGTCACTACCATCTTTCTTGCTTTCCTCTGTCCCTTGGTGAAGCATGTTTTTTAGAAGCTGCAGAAGAGAATGCCTCAAAGCACATTTGTGGAGGCCTTGTGTTTCAAAATGTCTTGATTTTACTTTCATACTTGATTGATAGTTTAATTAGATATCAAGTTCTAAGTTGAAGTTGGTTTTTGTTTTTGTTTTGTTTTGGTACCAGGAATCGAACTCAGGACTTTGTGGTTACCAGGCAGGTGCTTGTGCTGCTGAGCTATATCCCCAACCCCTCAAGTTCTAAGTTGAAAATCGTTTCCTCCACAGAATTTTTAAAAATTTAATTGGTATATGTTTGCAATATAGTAGTCACATTAATTTTTGGAAATTTGTATGTGTGTATGTGTGTGTGTCTGTTATTTTGATCATTTTCTATACCCACTCCATCTCCTTACCAGTCCTTGGGGCAGCCCTTTCCTGTTTTCCCCTTTTCTGTCTCCAGGAAGTCTACCTCTCTGTTTTCCCACTATTTCTTTTGTTTTTACTCTTTATTTATATTTTTAGTTTTCTAATAACAGAAATCTTGTGATAATGGATCTTCTGCACCTGACTTATTTAATGTAACATTATGGTCTTAAGTTCCATCCATTTTCCTACATAAGACTTGAATTTGACCTTCTTCATGGCTGAATAATATTTCATTTTGTAAATATAGTACATTTTCTTTATCCACTTGTCTGTGATTGGACATGTGAGCTGCTCATAGTTTAACAGCTGTGAATTGCACTGCTATAAGCATATGTGTGCCTGGGTCTCTAAAGTATGTCTTTAACTCTTTCAGGGAACTGCCCAGGAGAAGTATAGCTAGATCAAATGGAATTTCTATTTTTAGTTGTTCTGAGAACTCTCCATATTGTTTTCTGTAATGTTTGACTAGTTTACATTCCTACCAACAATGGAGAAAGGTTCCTTTTCACCCTCACATCCTTACCATCATTTATTTTTTGTGTTCTTGATGGCAGTCATTCCTGCTAGAGTAAGATAGTATGTCAGTGTTGATTTGCATTTCTATTTTGACTAAAGATGTTGAACATTTTTTCATGTACTTGTTGGCCATTTTTGCTGCTGCTTTTGTTAAATGTTCATTTCATTTGCCAATTTTTTAATTGGGTTATTTGGGTGGGTGGGGTCTAATTTTTTTTAGTTCTTTATATATGTTAGCTTCAGGCTTCTATCAGAAGAGTAGCTGTCAAAATTGTTTTCCCATTTTGAAGGCTCTCTTCACTCTGTTGATTGTTTCCTTTGCTGTGTACAGTTTTTAAAAATTCAATATACAGTAATCTCATTTGTTTATTCTTAGTATAATTTCTTGTGCTATTGGAGTTCTGTTCAGAAAATCCTTACCTATACCTATGTTTAAAGTTTTTTGTCTTCCTGCAGTTTCAGTGTTTCTGTTTTTTATCTCAGTCTGTGATTTATTTTGATTTAACACATTTACACTGTACTGTATTTTGTCCCAAAATAAGACCTAGCCAGAAAATAAACCCTGTTGTCATTTTTTCAGCATGTTTATAATATAAGCACTAGTTAAAATCATCACTGAGACAACTGCATTTAGTTTGTCCATTGCAACACACAGAGGATGCATTGAATTTTAAAATAGTAACAATAACAATAAACAATTAAATATAAATAAAGTTATTGACATTAATGTTTAAAATGAATGATAACATAAATTACAATTTGTAAATACTCACGTTGGTGCCTTTGGACAAGAGGTAAACGTCTGTGTAAATAGATGAATTTGAGATTTATTGCTGGATGACCAATAAGCATACAAATAACAAAACACAAATAATGTGCACACTTGATAAGGAATCGACACAGTTGTGCCTAATAATGAATCTTCATAATTCATTATGTCCTGTGTTGTAATGGAGGCAGTTAATCTGCTCATGTGAAATAAATATTTTCTGAATTTTGGTGCCTGCAATTTTTTTGTCACTTTTCTACAGACCATCATTTTTAACTGTTACCATTTTTGTTGCCACTCCTGTCTCATAAGTCTTCAATTAACACTTGATTTAATGAAAATATTGTGAAGCCCAGCCTACAAGAGCTTGTGTCTTGGGTGAAGAATTCATGGAATGCAATCTCTGACAGCTGTGTTGCCAGTGCATTCCAAGCAGGCTATGTGGACAAGAAGTGCTCATTTAAGGAGAGCTTCATCACTGGACACGAGAGATTGGGGCCAGTGAAGTCTCAAGAAATTCTACAGGAAATGGAGTTGCAAGAAATTCTGGCCAGAATTTGGGTTTGGATGATTATGACGGTGTTCCAGAAGAAGATGACATGACTATATTTGAATAAATGTAGATTTTTGTACGTGAATATAGATTGTTGTACATGAAGAAAGACATTTTTTGAAAAGAAGCCCTACTGTGTCTTTCAGCAAAATTAATACAAGACCCAGTCATATTTTTGGTGAAATACAGTATGTCTTGTTGCCAGGCAGTTCTGTTTTGAACGTGTTATGTTCCTGCCAGCTTGAACCACCAAATTTTCATTAATTTTATTAGTAAAAAGATCAGTAAAAGTAATTAGATTTGTTGGTACCACCAGTTGTAAACCCAGAGAGACCAGTGTTTCAAGCTGATGGGAACATGTTAATACACAGTCAGAGGTGTGGGTCTAGGTCAGTTCTTCTGCACATGGATAACCGGTTTTATCAATGCCATTTGTTAAGAAAACCATCCTTTCTCCAGCATATGTTTTTAGCATCTTTCAAAGGTCAAATGGCTAAAAGTAAATGGGCTTATTTCTGTGTCTTCTGTTCCACTGGTCTACAAGTTTATTTTTGTGTGTATATCATGTTGGTTTTATTACTATGGCTTCACAGTATAACTTAAAATCTGGAATTGCAACCTTTTCCTCTCACTTTGCTCCTTTTGCTTAGAATTGCTTTGGCTATTCTTGGTCTTGTCTGATTCCGTATAAGTTTTAGGATTTTTTTTTTCAAGTTCTGTGTAGAATGTTGGTATTTTAGTAGAAATTTCATTAAATTGGTAGATTGCTTTTGGTGATATGACCATATTAGTAATAATAATTCTGCCTGTTCTGTTTTCTATTGTCCTCTTCAGTCTCCACAGAACTGTAAAGACATTAATTCAGTGTTTTAACATTTGCTATTGATAATAAGAAATACCATGCTCTTCTGAGTTCTAAAATGTGACCATTATACCTTTAATTATTAAGAGTTCTCTTTTGAGTTATATTGTTATTAGTGGTATATGTTTGCTTTTCTTAAAAATACTTATATATACACCTTTTCTGTTCTTCCCTACATTGTCTTTCTACCCATGGCCTCCCTCCTATTGGAGCGCCATTTTGGACTTGTTTATGGTATAGAACAGGGAGGCAGCCCTCATGATAACGTGGTAACTCTTCTTGTTAGCCTTTCTTACTTCTGGATTATTTTCCCTTTTTCTCCGTCAAAGTAGTGGTTATTTTTATGTTCACTTTGTTTTCATTTATTGTGATAAAATTAGATATGTTTGCTTCTCATTTTTCTTTTTTGGAGTTATGTCTGAGAAGAGAGGCAGACTGAGAAGTTACTGATTATTTTAAATAAAGACATTTGTCAGCCTTCAGATAATAGATTTTTTTCCAACATTTTTCTGTGTGGCATTATACAAGGTATTTCTAGGTAGCAGACTTCAAGAAATAGACAAGAAGTTTTACTGAAATATCTTTTTAACAGTATTTTGGGGAAATTAAAGAATACTTTTTATTTTACTTTTAAGTAATAAGCTTTAATTTTAGAATAGTTTTTTGAGGGGAGAGTGAGGATTACTGGGAATTGACCTTTTAGAGACAAGTGCCCAATCTGTAACCCAAAACCCACTTACTTACTGCAGAGTGCCAGCTCTGCAATTAAACCTGAATCCCGGGGTCTTAGTTTAGCAAAAACCAACTTATATATTAATATCTTCTGTCTTAAGAGAAAAACAACATGCGTGCCAGAATTTTCACCACCACTGCTTTAAGGAAATGATATAACAGTTTTTAAAAATCTTGTGTGCTGTTCAGTTAGCATTTATTAAGTATGCACCATTGTCACGCCTTGGATACAGAACTAGATAGAGAGAAAAGGCAATCTCTGATCTCAAAATGCTCGCTCTAGGACACAGGTGAATGAGTACGATGTGGCAAGTGCTAGATAAAGCCAAGCACAGGCTACTACAGAAGTGTGAACTGAGGAAGGTGGGAGAGAATCAAGGAAACCTTCTAGAGGAGATAATGCCTATGCTACAGATGAACAAGGCAAAGGAAGAGACCTTTGTAAAATATAGTATTCTGTTACAGATTTACAGAGTAAATTTGTGGCCAAAGAAAATGAAATACAGAATCTACATAGTAAACTTACAGATACCTTGGTATCAAAACAACAGTTGGAGCAAAGATTAATGCAGTTAATGGAATCAGAGCAAAAAAGGGTGAACAAAGAAGAGTCTCTACAAATGCAAGTTCAGGTATCTGTTTTTCCTTCTTTTGAAACAATAGAGAATCAGATATGTGTGCCTAAAAAGCGAGAGCAGAATATACCTTATCCTAATTCTGGAGTAGTAGTGAATACCTACAATTTAGTGTTTGAGCACATATCGTAGTATATTGTGTTTGAACTGCTTAACCGTAGTTTTAGGCTCCTTGTAGTTTAGAAAAAATAAAACATTTCCTTAATTTTCATCTTATAAATTAACTTAGAATAGAATGCCTAATCATTGTTTCAAATAATGCCTTTTGGAATCTAAGAGTGCCTTTTTAAAGATAAACAGAACCTAAAAGTCATGATATTTATATACATTGGGACCTTCCTTCATATCACACTTTCTCCCTTTCTTTTTTGTTTGCTCTTTATGAAAGGATATTTTGGAGCAGAATGAGGCCTTGAAAGTGCAAATTCAACAATTTCATTCCCAGATAGCAGCCCAGGTAATAGTGCTTTCTTCTTGCTTGTCATTAATAATAACTTGTGCAACTGGGCATGATGGAGCACACCTGTAATCCCAGCACTTGGGAGGCTGAGGCAGGAAGATCACTGCAAGATTGAGGCCAGCCTTAGCTACATAGTGAGTTCAAGGCCAGCCCGAACTGCATAGTGAGACCCTGTCTCAAAAAACAGTAATAATAATAGTAGCTTGTGAGCCATGTAGATACTCAACTGAGTGCCTGTTGAGTGCTGAGCATTGGGTTAGTAGCTGGAAAACTAGTTAGTGGATTAGCAAGTGATGATCCTGAGTGCTGAATGCTCAGGATTATATATAATGCCATGGGAAAACTAAAGAAATTCAAATCCAAGTAAGGGGAAAGGAGATGGTTAGAAAGCTCTTCTCAGGAAAATACGTCTAGTTCTATCACAAAACAAGAGAAATTGGACAAACAGTGTCTGTGATAATGGTTTATGTATTAAAGGTATTTACACACTACTAATTATGAAAAACCTCATGTATCCACAGGTGGTAGTGGTGTGTTAATCATAGTTCTCAGAATATATTCATAGAAGTTTAAAATTTATATTTCGATGCTGTTAGTGGTGTTTGAAAGTTTTTTAAATGGTGGTGTAAGATCTGTTATTTTTGACAGTGTTGTTCTATCATGATTGGTAAGTAGGCCTTAAAATATAAATGGTACAACATGAAGGAAAAAGTGAATACTTCCAAGTACATTTCTAAAATATATACACTATCAATTTCAATTCAACCTTACAATTCTGTAAGTTGTTTGTAGCAAAAAGTATTAATTTAAAAATCTGACTTCTCTGTATAAAAAATAATGGTTTTAACATTAAAAACTTGGTTTTAGGGTTCGCACAAGTTTAAATTTCCAAAGCATGTAAATGTAATTCTTTCAAGTTGCTTTTTTTGTATAATTCATAGTCTATAGTTAGTGAAGAGCTATTTAATATACGGAAAGAGGCTGTAGGTGTGTGTCTGCGAATTACCAGCTCAAGTTGGATTGAAATCTTTCGTTATGAGCTGAGAGCTCTAGAAAATTTATCAGAAATTAAATATTTAGAGAATGCTGTGAATGCTTCTTAAAAAGTAAAGATGAACCTGAATATTACCAGATTGCTTATCTTAATCATAAGGTGGATTGTATTGAAAGTTGCTGCTGAGTAAGAGAAGTACAGCAACAAAACTTGGCCATTGTGACTTGTTTCCTATTTGTTCCCTGTCACTTACCTAGTTTTCAGTCCTATCAAATTGTTTTATTCTGTATGTCTCATGATACATGATCAAAAATGCTTTCAGAATGTTAGCTACTCTGTATTAAACACTTATCATGGGTTAAAAGCTCTATATACATTAATTTTTCTTAAAGCTCTTAGGATTATTGTGCAGCTTTTAGAAAGCTCTCTCTTAAATGGTTTCATGTTGACAATGTTTTTCTTTCTTAGACCTCCGCTTCAGTTCTAGCAGAAGAATTACATAAAGTGTAAGCCTACCTTTCCAAACTTCTTTTGCAATTGTGTAGTCACCACTAACTCATACCTCTTAGAAATCTATAAAGAATTGACTCTGTACGCTTACCTATTTGGAAAATACTCCAAACTAGATTTGGAGAAACTTTTACTCTTTTTTTTTTAACCCCTCTTATTTGTTGGGTCCCTAACCGTTACAGTTTTTGTTTTAATGTCTTCATCATAAAATGAGGGGGTGAAGCTTTTCACTTGGAGTGTTGGCAGTTATGTAAAAGAGGTGAGGGTATGAGAAACAAATTAACTTTTGCGTCTTAACATGTAGTTGTCGCTACTCTGTATCTAGCTATGTGGTAATATACTTAAAACAAAATTCTGTGCTTTGTTTGCATAATTTTACATAGATATGGGTTGAGTTCAGAGGTTCTCAAATCTGTGTTTAACTTTGGCAGATTTGTAAAGTTGGACAAATTAATTTGAGTGTGAATTTTAAAATGAGGGATATGTATGTATTTGTTAAAGAGTTATAGTAATTATAAGACAGTTATTAGTAAACTGCAAAGGGACTATAGAAATGGAAGGTATAATTATATGAGAAACTACTTAAAGATGACCCTATTTAAGGTTTTTGATCCTTTGATTTGTGATGTGACTTACAAATTTTGATTGAATATACAAGTTTATTTTGTTTTAAAGGATTGCAGAAAAGGATAAACAGATAAAACAGACTGAAGATTCCCTAGCAAGTGAACATGATCATTTAACAAGTAAAGAGGAGGAACTTAAGGTCAGTCATTGTTATAAACAGCTGCAATATTTTGTAGGGCTTGACACTGAGTTATCATAATCTCTATAATCAGTGTGTTTACATGAAAAATGGAAAATACTATAGAACTCATTTGAAAAATGCCTTTCTCTTTTCTAAACTATAAAATCCTCTAGCTCTCTGAGAGGAAAAAGTCAAAGGGCTTTTCTCACATGGTATTATTTCCAACAATTTGAGAAATATGCTAAATATCAAGAATTGCAGTTTCTCTTGCTGATTAAGGGAATTTGTTATTTGAGACCTTTGCTTAACTCTTACTGTAGAACAGATGCCTTACACACTTTAAAGTCAGTCATCTTAAATATTCTAACATAGAACTCTTGTTTCATTGATCTAGGATATACAGAACATGAATTTCTTATTAAAAGCTGAGGTGCAGAAATTACAGGCTCTGACAAATGAGCAGGTAGGTCTTTATTGCTTTTTTTGTATTGAGAATTTTAATTTGTCTGTTTTCATTTTTATTAATATTTTGAGCTCCAGTTTTATTCATGTAAATAATAAATATAATTGTATTTGGCTGTGTGACGTGTTGAAAGCCTCTTTACAACATACCTCGATTATTATTATTTTGTGTTGAAGTTATGTTTGATCGGATGGATTGTTTTGAGATGTCAGAGGAGTCACTTAAAATAATCTTAACGTGCTAGTCTTTTGCTGTTCAATCTAAAAAGCACAGACTTTTTATTAGGATAAAAATTGACCTGTGAACATTTCAGACTTGTATGATATTGCTATAACCTTACTCCAAGTATAAGGAAGTGTAAAAGTAAGTGAAAGATTAGTTTAGAGTGCATCCTGAAAAGATAAATTTTCATTTTCTTCCAAACAGGCTGCTGCAGCACATGAATTGGAGAAGATACAAAAAAGGTGATTGAAATACTGTTGTAAATAGAGCCATTTATAAATAATGTTCAAGTATAATTTCTGCAGAAAATATTGCTAGTTAAAATTGATGGTTGAACACATGGTTTACACTGTCTGAATACAGGAAGTATTTTTAATTGATGCATTTTTTTCTCATAGTATTCATGTTAAGGATGATAAAATAAGACTGCTTGAAGATAAGTTACAATGTGAAATTACAAACAAAATGGAAGAATTTAAGGTATGTGGTTAAGCTTGTATACTCAGCTTTCTTAGAATTAGCTTAGGATTTTCAGTTGTAGTGAATGAAGACATACTATTTTGTATATGAGGTCACATTGAAACAGTATTTCTGTAGTTTATTTGGACACTTACGCAAATAGTGAATTTTGTCATAGACTTTCTCTCGAGATTTTGACTTACCTGGTCTTCTAATAAACTTTAGAAATTTACTTTGCCCCAACTTTTCCTTGGCAGTTTTCAGCTGTTGTTTATGTTTGTGACTGTTGTCTGTCTCTGCTATTGCCATAGTGCTAGCCTCTGGTCATGGTCATCCCAATTTGAGTATCTGATTGCCAGGGCACATCTGCACCAAAAGAAATGTGAATTCTTATGTCAGTATGTAATTCACCTGTTACTCTGTGAGCACTTAAAATAATATTATGGGTTGACTTTAAAAATTCAGAAGATTGCTTTTATTGCCACTTTTTCTTTTAAAAATCATAGTAAAATCTTTTTCTTTCAGACTGTAAATGACCAAAACAAAGCATTAAAATTAGAAGTTAAAAGGCTACAAACTCTTATTTCTGAGCAGGTAAGACTTTCCATGTATCTTGAGGTAGAAATAGTCAGTACATAGTAAGATCTGTCTCTTATTTTACAGTCAGCCTATTAACTGAGCAGTGTTGCTCAAGCGTAATTGCATCTCCTAATGGCATTTCTCTTCACCTTGTGCTTACTGGGGTTCTAAATACTGTACTTCCTTAAGATGAAACAAATGCTAATCCAGTTATCAGAAGTTTGCAATAAATAAAGGAAGGAAGGGAAGGAAGGAGGGATGAGCTGGCAGTCCTGTCTCACACTTTTGGAGCTTCAGCTGTTTCTTCTAGGCAATGTGACTTCTTAAAAACAGAATGGGTTTAAAACATGTTACTAGCACTTAGAAGCAAAGTAGTACAAATCAAATGCTTAGCATTTCTGTTACCTTCCATTTCAAGTCCTTTATACCAAGATTGCTCTTACACACGCATACCATACTGCTTTAAAACTCACCATATTTGGTACTTGATGCATTTTGACTGAAAAATTCTATACCAGTACTTATTTGTTTGGTACTCCATATACAACCCAGAACTTGTTAGTGCCAGTTGCCTCATGACTTGCTACCATTTCCAGCCAGAACATTTTGTTTGGTACTCATCACACCTGCCTTAACGAGTTTATGACAAGTACAGATGTACCACTGTATTGTAAGTTCATTAGGTTTAAGTGGGAAGCACAGTGTTTTGGGTGTAGTAGGCATCTAAGTCTTCATTCTTTTCTCTTAGAGTATGTTTTTCCATCTCATCACCATTCCCTAATACCATCACTCTTCCTTTCTGTATTTGTAGTAAACAAATACTGTAGTGTATTTACTGTAGCAACTTTGAATAAGCAATGCTCCATGAACTTGTGTCCAATAGTGTCTGTTCTATGGCTTTTCCTAAGTGTTTTCTTCATACTTTGCCTCCTAGTCAACTCTTTAAATTACAGTTTTAAAAACTGCTCCAGAAACTCTTGATCCTAGATGGTACATTAGCACAGAAGCTTTCCATGTTTTCCTACTAGTATGTTTTTGGAATATGCTTTTATTAAAACCTGAAATGGAAGCTGTTGCAAATGATAACATTTCCTTAGCACATGTGGGCACTTTTTTAAAAATTAATGTTTATGCAAGTCTTGAATTGATTTAAGTAGCTGTGTTGCTGGAAATATTTTAACATCAGTTTATTTGTCAAGAAATAAATCACTCGTTCCCCTTGACATTAAGTGTTCCTCCTTACATTAAGTGTTTTGCATAATTCTTAATACTTTGAATATGCTTTACCCTGCAAACTAAAGGGAATAGATAAAAATGTTAAAAGGACATTTAGTTTAAATGGTGTTTAAGTCTTATTTTTAAATCTTATTCTTACTTGCCTTTGTTGTAGTATAGCTTATGAAAGATAATGACATTCCATGAGTTACAAAACCATCTCTGAAACCTGGATATTAATTGTAATATCTGGTTATGGTTCATTTGGCGCTATTTTAAATTTTTAGTATTAAAATATCTGGTGGAAAATGCAACATTAGTGACTTGGATTAGATAGCGCAGGTTTTTTTTCTTACCTAGAAAAGCAGATTATACTTCCTGATAATAGTTACTAGGGATTTTGAAATGTTTGTTTCAATATAAGTTTTAAACTTTCTAAAATTAACTTCAGTAAAGTACATGCCTAGAAATTTCTGAATCTGTCCTAGAATTTCAGTGTTCTAGTATGGCAACTTCTACCTATATTTAAGCAGAAAACTTATATCTTTAAAAATCTTCTAACTTCTGTTCTTTGCTCAAACCAGTATTCTCCATTTTACATGTGTGAAAGCACTAGACTTACATTTTCCTTTTCCTTTAAAATTGTGTGATAGTTGGGGAAGTTAACATTCTCTTGCCTTATATAAAAGTCCTTATATCTGTGGAAATTAATTTTCTAAAAAAGTTCTCTTATTTTGATTTTATTGAGTTAATCTTTTATTTATTTTGATGTTTTTGCACACACATGTTCTGTTAAAATGACAACTTTTAGTATGAAATGTAAGTTTTTTTATATTCTTAGAACAAAATTTCATAGCCACGGTTTTGGATTTATTTATGGGAGGGAAAACTCATTTGGAGACTTTCATTCTTAGAATTGTGCTTTTGGTTCTGAAGATTTAAAAAAGTAATTCAGATGCCATATGACTCTGATGTTACAGTTTTGGTTGTAGTTCACACTTTTTTCGTCTTGGAAGACCAAAAATTTGTTTTGTCTTTTCTCATTTTTTTAAATAGCAATTGCTAGTAACAGAAGAGATAAAGATTAGTATAATTTTAGTTTCTTTCATTTCCAGTTTTCTTAACCCTTTCCTACCCCCGCAACCAGAATTCCAAATGACAGTTAAGAGATAAACAGTTGAGTTATGTAAAACTTTCAGTCCTCTTTCTACATGGATTTTTGTCTCAAGGAAGGGACTGAGCATTTTTAAGTAGAAACCAGTAATGGTGCCAAGTTGTTGTGGTTTCTTAAGGTGTAGGAAGCAGAATGGCAATGAGAACGAGGTAAAGTAGCCTGTTTAAATACTATGGGAAGGTTCCATTTTAATGTAGGCTTGCAGATGGTCAAATAATGCAGGTAATCACTTACTAAGATCTAATATACCCAGAGTAAATTAAAACCTTTTATGTTAGGGGGGTACATCCTTGCATTTTAGTGGAGAAGGAACATGACTTCTTTTTTCTTTATTTCAATGGATTATTAAGATTCAGTAGCAAAGTTTGTAAAGTAAAAACTGAGAAGTTTCTTCTGTGCCCTGCTCCCTAGTTGTTCTTAATTGAAGGAAATTTCCTTATTTTATAAGATGCACATTTGAAAACCATTTAAGGAGGAAATGATAGAGTTGGATTAGACAAATAAAGTATAAGGAAAATAAAAGTGTTGGATAGATGCTGAGCTGTATCATTTTGTGCAGTTGAATATTTGATAAACTGAAGGTGAAGAGTACGTATTAAACTTAGGTCTTCACTAAGGGAAATTCAGTTCATCAAATAATGGTTGAATATGTGCTCGGTATTTATCTACTTGTTTATTAGGCTGTGGAGATAAATGAAACTTGATTCCTGCCTTCAGAATATGGTTTAATGTGGAGAGAGATACATAACACAGAAAGGTATGGGGAATAAGATGTCTGACCTAACTCTCCAGGGTTAGGGGAAGAAATAATGTATTCTATCTGAAGAGGTAGAGAGGCTACAGAATGGCACCTGAACTTGATTTTGAAAAATGGCTGCAAACAGGCCAGACAGCTAAGGGACAGTCCAGGCTGAGGCAACTCACTGTTCAAGATTATGGTGGTGTACAACAAGACCGGGTCTAATTATGAAGGACTTTGATGTGTAAGGATCATGAAGCTAAAGGGCGTTGAAAAGATGGATTTTGTCTCATATTTTAGATCGCCCTAATAACAGTGAAATATCTGAGTTTGTGAAAAGGAAAATCAGGTAGGACTGACTAAAAATATAATACAATTAAATATTTAACATGTAGATATGTTGGAATTAATGGTGCTGAATCTTTTTGTGAGATGGCATTGATCAAAAATAAAAATGGACAAACACCATCTTCATGTAAAATTTGTAATCTTACAACATGTTTGTTTTTTATAGTATTACTCTGATTGAGTGGACTTTTAGCATCAACCATCTCCTTTCTGATGGTGGAACAGTTTTTTCCCAATGGAATGCTCTTCCTGTGTCCCTTAGAAAGCAGTCCATAAGAAATAGAAGTGGGAAAAATAGATTATTGTGATATTTGAGACAAACAAATAAAGCTGAGGACCTAAACATAGACATTCAAGATAAAGGGTCTTTTTTTTTATTTTATGGAAAAAAGGTAAAACAATTTCATAACACAATAATAGGAGAATACCAAAAGTTAATACATTGCATATTGTCATCTTCAGAGTAGTTACTCAAAGTACAAGATATGGGCATAAAAAATTCTCTAATCAATATTAGCATGAAACTTCCTTTTTACTGAGTGAAGAGACACTACTAGTATAACTAACTTGAATTTTTCTCCCTTTTCCCTTCCTTCCTTCCCCTTTTCCCCATCCTAATTCCTTTTTCCTTTTAAGCTGTTTCTTCCCATTTTACACTATCTGTTGTACATTTTAGATCTCATTTACTCTTTCAGTTTCTCACACCAGGGAGATAATATGATGTTTATATATGTGAGTCTGATTTATTTCACTTATGAGTATGGCCTCAAATTGCATCCTTTTACCTGTAAGTCTCAAGATTATCCTTTTATATGGCTAAGTAGTACTCCGTTGTATAAAAATACCACATCTTTTTATCCATTACTTGGTTGATGGACATTTGGGTTGTTTCCAAAATTTAGCTATGACAAATTATGCTTCTATAAACATGGGTACATATATATCATTGTGCTGTGACGTTTTTAGTTCTTCTGGGAGGATACCCAGAAGGGGAATAGCTGGGTTGAATGAGACCTCCTAGCTTTTTAAGGAATCTCCATACTGATTTCTACAGTGGTTGCACCAGTCTGCACTCCCATCAACAGTGGAGAAGGGTTCCTTTTTCCACACAGCCCCTCCAACATTTGTTATTGGATGATAGCTATGAAATAACAGTCGTAATAAGGATCATTTTCCTAAATTTCAGATATATTTAGAATCCTAAACAGTTCGTTGTAGTTTTAAACTAGTTTTACCACATGTAAACTAGAGAGAATTAAACTATTTTGATGCTTTTCTTTTCCTTTTTTCTTTTTTTTTAGCCCAATAAAGATGTTGTGGAACAAATGGAAAAATGGTAAGAGCTTAAATTTTTCTTTTTTCATTTTGATGGCTCATTTCTACCAAATTTGAAATAGCATTAGTATTAACTGCAGTAGTCTAGATTCTTAAAAATCTTTTTCTTTTTAGTAGAAGAAAGTGTGGTGTGTTGTTGGCTAGATTACATTATAGTTTGGGTGTCATGTGTTGCAGTGATTTACTTGTTTTGGATAGCATGTGAGCATGGCCTGCTTGAGCACATTTTAATTACTGATAAGTGGGGAGAAGTATTCCTAGAACATGATCAAAGATCCTTAGAGATCTTTCTAGAATTAAAAGTTTATAGGAATATTGGGCAGAGGTATTGATTTAGGAATGATACTACTTTCCTGGAAAAACAGTTCATACATACACTTTAAATTTATAATTTCAGCATTCAAGAAAAAAATGAGAAGTTAAAGACTGTAGAAGAATTACTTGAAACTGGACTTATTCAGGTGGCCACGAAAGAGGAGGAACTGAATGTAAAGAATTTTGTCGATTTGTTTTTCTTGTTATTATTCTGTGAACATGAAAGGATTTCACTGGAATTGTATAAGGTTTTCTTATAGCTGTTAAACTTACTATTAATTACGCACATTTTATAAATATATAAAATACCTTTTAAAATGGAATTTAAGATTTTTTTCAGAAATAGAAAAACGCATAGTTGATTGTAGCAACTATGTATCTCTGCCTTAATGAGGTGTATACTGTTGTTACAGTCTGTAATATGCTCACCCACTTGCGCTTATGTGCAGAATATAACTAGATGATCACTGGCAGACTTCATGAGCCCTTACTGGGGGTGAGGGGAAGAGGTGCACAGTTCTGTTTTATGGTTATCCTTAGCCCTAACTAACTTGAGTAAGGCAGTGTTACTGGGAAGAGTAAGTAAAGATGTATTTGAATTTAGGGAGGGTCCTGAGTTAGTTGACAAGAGATACACTATGTATTTTTGAGTTTGTGGGAATAGAAGTAGAAATATTTGTGGGGACAATTGAATTACAACCATTTGGCTAGCCATACAACATAAGGAGCAAGCAAGATCTTGGACCTCCTGGAGAGGAAAAGATAGAACTAAAGAAAAATGAAGCTAGCTAGTTTTGTAGAAGGTAAAAATATGTTACTCTTGCATGTTTTTGAAAAAAGGCAATAAGAACAGAAAATTCATCTCTGACAAAAGAAGTTCAAGACTTAAAGGCTAAGCAAAATGATCAGGTATGTATCTATTCCACAGCTCTTCTCTTTTAAACAATGGACAGAAATATTACATGCAGATATACCAGATCTTTTGATTGCCTGTTTTTCTGCCAAGGTACACAGTTAGTTTTAATCATTGATTAGTTACTTGATTATCGATGTTAGAGAATACAACTTATTGAAAGCTGTCTGCATGTCAACCACTGTGTAGAGTAGTCTAGAATAGGGTATCATTGTTTTTTTACTATAGTAATAAAAAGTTAAGACTAAATAATAACGGGCTGCCTGAAATGAGGCAGTTTCCTAGTTGTATTTTGTCTTTGTCTTTGTCTGTTTAGAATTAATAAGTAATTCAGATATTCATCCAATGGTTTTTCTTTTGTCTTCCATTTATAAGTAGGCTTAAAACTGCTTACTTTTAAAATGCTATTGATTTTTATCATTACACCATTTAAAATATCTCTAAAGAATTGTGGGCTTACTTTTTCCCATTTAAATTCTGGTAGAGTGGTAATTGTACTTTTCTACTTCTGACCTATTTATAGTTTGAACAAGTTATTAAGGTGCGTTTTTGTATTTCTAGGTTTCTTTTGCATCTCTAGTTGAAGAACTTAAGAGAGTGTAAGTGATAACACTGTTATAAACTGACCTTTTTCTTTTGACCTATTTTCTTAGTACTCATAAATTAGTTTTGTTGCTTAGTTGGACAGCTGGTATACGTTGACTTTAGAATTTTTCATTAATGGACTAAAGGAAGTTCTGTCTTTCCTAAATTTACTCTGATTTGTTTTTAGTTTCCAAAATTGATTCCATTTATTTTTGTATGACGTGAAATTGTTAATTTTTTGTCTTGTAGTAGGAACTATTGAAGAATGTTACACTAGATAGAGAGATCAATTCTTTGCATTCTTTAGATGTTGTAAAGTTTAATGCCGTAACTGTATGTGTTCTGTCACAGCTTTGAGCGTCTGGGAAGCTAGTACTATTGAGTGGCATTTGATTCTCCCAGGTTTTCATAGTGCAAATCTTACATTCCTCGTGTATTTTGGTGGAGGGGAGGTGGTGCTGGGTATTGAATCCAGCTACATCCCAACCCTCTTTTTTTTTTTTTTTTTTTTTTGAGACAAAGGTTTTGCTGAGTTGCTTAGGCAGGACTTGAACTTGCCATTTTCCTGCCTCAGCATCCGAAAGGGCTGAGATTATAGGACTGAGCCACCATGCCTGACTGACTCCCCATTGTACTTTTAAAGGTTATCACCAACTTCTTGTGTATAAGTTACAACCATCTGGTAGTTGCTGATTAAGTCTCATTTAGGAAGAGCTTTACTATTTTGGTTTGTTTTCCCTTTTATTTGCAAGAGTAGGTTGCTGTTTTACGTGGGAGAGCATTGACTTGGAGAACCATTCCGTGATTTAATGGTATTTTTATATCTTGATGGATTTTGGTGATTTCTGTTGAAGTTAATACTGCATTTATTTATTTAAGGATCCATGAGAAAGATGGAAAGATCAAGTCTGTAGAAGAACTTCTAGAAGCTGAAATTCTCAAAGTTGCTAATAAGGAGAAAACTGTTCAGGTATTGGGAGAAAAAGAATAATGTGTTTGCCTTTCTGTTTATCAGCTTTAGTTAATATCATTTAATTTCATCTGTTTGTCTATGCATTGCATTTTATGTCACTTTTATGTGTTTCCATTGTCCAATCTTGTCTGTTTTGTTGTCAAGGATTTGAAACAGGAAATAGAGGCTCTAAAAGAAGAAATAGGAAATGTCCAGCTTGAAAAGGCTCAACAGGTAAAAATCTCAGAGCCATAGCATGACAGATTTATTAGTCTATGTATTATTTATGAGTTACTTGATTTTTTTCTTTGTTACTCAGAAAATATCTTTTAGTAGTGTTCTGTAGGTAATACTAGGTTATATGCTTTTGTTTTCTTGCCTAATGTGAGAAAATACCCTTAATATGACACTTGATTTCATGTGTCCTTGATGTTGTGTATTTTTTAAAGCTTAACTGTCAAAGTTTTTTTCTGAAAAGTTTTCTGTATTGATATTTCATTTTACTTTGCCAATTTAAAACAGAATACTAAACACTTGTTAATTTTTTTTTTTTAATCCCACCCTTATAAAAACAAACTACATGGAACAGAATGATTTGTTACAGAATGTATGTTGCTCAACCTCTGCCTGTAGAACAAAATACAAGTCTTTTTCCAAAGGTAGATGTGCTTACTGGAATTATGTGAGTTTAATGGGATTTAACCTGATGAGGCTTTGTTGAAAAAAATGGGAATAATTGGGTGGAAGAAGAGATTCTTTCACTTAACAGATTTCTTCAACAGTATTTATTGAGTTCTTCTTTCCTGTCAAAACTTTGTACTAATGATTAGAGATAATACGTTGAACAAAACAAGGTGTGGTGAAAAAGATCAGATGATACAGATCATGAGGTTAGGAGAGACACCTCCTGAGGAACTGATGCCTATGCTAAGATCTAAAGGGGCTATGAGAATAGAATGGCAGAAGAAAAGTACTAATAGCCAATATGATATGTTTATAAAGGAGACTACAGAGGGACAGTAATAGAGTACTGTTGAGTAGTTGTCCTTGATAACTGAGCTGTGTGGAGGTGTGTGGAGAATTAGGTAATGCTCTTACTTTCATAATTTTAAAAATATCAATATTATTTAAACTTATTATTTATAACCGTTTTCCTTGTCTTAGCCCCTCCCTATTATATTGTTACTTTTACTGTCAAGTAAAGATGTAATAAAAGCACCTCACTTTGGCATAAAGAGTTGAGTTGGGGTCTTTGTAATTCAAAGTGTTCTAAGTATATCATAAAGCAAAAGGATTATGAATTACCTTTTATGTCCTTTGTATTTCAGTTATCTATCACTTCTCAAGTTCAGGAGCTTCAGAACTTGTAAGTACCATTTTTCTCATTTATCTATAAATATCTGTTTCTGAGAAATTAAATATGACAATTATAACATGTTTTTATTTCAGTTAATATTTTAGAAAACATCAAATTCAAAAGGCCTTACAATATTACATTTTTTCATTATGCATTAACCTATAGGGTTTTGTTTATGTTTTTCTTTTTTGGTGGGAAGGAGGTAGGATGGGAATTCTTACATTTTGGTTTATAATCTGACTTTAAGTGAATATAGCTCTTGGCCCATATAAATAGTTATGTGAAACTAACTATATTTTATACTCAACCCACTAGTAATAAGCTGTCTGAATTTGCTGATACTTCTTAAAACAGGGTGATGTATTGTAGAGCTGCCCTAATATATTTAATGTCTGGATTTTCAGTGATAGAACAGTTTGTTTAATTGTCCTATTACTTTGTAATTTGATAGTTTCCAAAATCTTGGGTACTTTTTTGGTTTTTGAGACAGGGTCTTGCTATGTAGTTCAGGCTGGGCCTGACCTCACTATGTAACCCAGGCCTCGAACTCATGATACTCTTCCTGCGTCAGACTGCTGAGTGCTAGGGTTGCAGGCATGCACCGCCATGCCCAGCTTGTGTGCCTTTTTACATAAAATAATTTTTAATTTATTTTAATCAGCTTGGGCTATAAGCATACTTTTCCAGCCGCCATTATTTATGCTCATGTAATATTTTTATTTATATTTCTCATTAATTTATTATCAGATTAAAAGGAAAGGATGAACAGATGAATACCATGAAAGCTGTTTTAGAAGAGAAGGAGAAAGACCTAGCCAATAGAGGGAAATGGTTGCAGGTGAGACTAAAAACAAAAGTTAAAAAAAGTACCATTTTAATACTTGAATATCAACTCATACCTATTGTGTTTAAGGAACTTCAAGAAGAAAATGAATCTTTAAAGGCTCATGTTCAAGAAGTAGCACGACATGACTTGCAGGAGGTACAGTATAAGCAAATTACCAGCATCTACATAAGGAATGAGGAGTCTTTATCTAATATACTGCAAAGCACAGAATTTAATCTGGTCCCAGTTTCTCTGCCCAGAGAATTCTTATTGTACTGTAGTTTTGTTACTGTTAAAATAAGTTAAGTTTATTCCTGTCCTGTCATACTCAGTGCCCTCATTTATCAGCCTGTTTATACATTCCCTTTTTTTTAAAATGTACATCTTTCAAAAACTAAGTTTCATAAAAGTCATTCTGACTTTGTTTTATAAATAGCTTAACTATAAATCTGCCACATAATTACATTTTTGCGTTATTGATGATTGATTCTATATATGTATTGTGGTATTTGGTTTTATTTTGCTGCTAGTATTAAAAATATGAATGTGTTTCATAGGTACATTCTGCATCACAATTTGAAGAACTTGAAATTGTGTAAGTATACTTTTAGCTGCCATTATCAGTAAGAACCTAACTGTTTTTCAGAATGTACTTTACGTCAATGCTTAGTATTCCATTTTTGAAATGCTCAGAAGAATAGAACATAATAAAACTTTTTCTCTTCAAATTCTGTTCCGTGACTTTTTCTAGGTCATTTCATGCAAAAGTTAAAAAAAAATTGCAATCTTGGGCATAAATGGGTTAAAAGTAATTATGATAGGTTTCTTGTTACCTGTTTAGTCCAGAGGCAAAGAGACCAAAAGTCTCTTTTTGGTAGAATGAAGCAGAGGCCCTTTAAATACTTTAAAATACCTGATGACTTTATCCTTCCCCAATCTTCAAACTCATTTTCTCAAATATTCATTCTACAAATATGTACTGGTTTTAAGTTCTGCCCTTTTATGAAAAACATGTAGTTATTGTAAAAACAAAATTTATTTCAAATTAAAACCAATTTAATATTTGATAGACTAACATCTCTGAGTTAAACAGATGATCTTAGCCATAATACTGATACTGAATACTGAATCTTTCTATAATTCTAACTTGCTCATAAGGAAAATAGAACTTGTTATGTGAAGTATTCTGTGCTGATTAATAAAACTGTTGACTTTCATCATTATAGGAGGTATTGTTCTTTGTAAATGTTCATCCTAGAACACTTTTTCTATCCTATAAAGGCTGTTTTCTTAAGCCTACTCAGTCTACAGTAATGAGGAAGGGTGTCTGAACCTCAGCTTCTATTCCCCTATAATTAGTTCTGAGGATCTTTCTTTAACGCAGTGCCCATCAATCAGTCCTTACTGATGTCTGTTTTAAGAAGTACCACTTTAGACTATGTCATTAGAACCAAGATACTAGGTCATTTGTGTTAAGGAAAGCAAGGGGGACAACTTTTCTTCCTACCGAGATGGCTCAGTTTATACGTGATTATTTACCTTTCGGGTATTGTGTACCTGTCCAGGTCACTTCAGCTGGTTGTGCTGATACACACCTATCGTCCTAGCACTCTGGGAGTCTGAGGTAGGAGGAGCCAAACTCTAGCCCCACCTGGGCAACTTAGCGATTTACTGAGACCCTGTCTCGAAATAAAGAACAGGTTGGGGGTGTAGCTCACCGTGTAGCTCACGGTTCGATCCACAGTACCGTCCTACTCCCAAAAGAGTCCTTTCATCTTCTAGTAGAGACACATTTATGGCCTTCTTGTTGTAAGTATATGAGTTATAAAGTATATAATTCTAGGTTTATTTCTGCTTTACATTTTCCTTGTCCTTTATGTTTTAAATTAATAGACCTTATTTGGGGGAAGCATTTTTAGGGTATAGAAAGAAATTGAGAGAAAAGTACACAGAGAACCTATATCACTTCTGTCCCCCATTTTGCCTGTTAATGTCTTGCATTGTCTTGGTACAGTTACCATACTTGATGAGGCAATAGCAATACATTAGCAAATGTATAATAATGTAGCCATCATTATGATATCAAATAATTTCACTGTCCTTTAGGACAATGGTCCCTGTTTATCCCACTCCCCTTTATTTACTCCCCCTACCCCCTTGAACTCCTGGCAGCCACTAATCATTTTTCTGTCTTAATAGTTTTGCTTTTCCCAGAATGTCAGTTGGGCCCATATAATATATAACCTTTTCGAGTTGTCTTTTTCCACTTATCAATATGCATTTAAGATTTACCCTTTCTTTCATTCTTTAATCTCACTCTTCATGTATGCTGTCTTATTTTCCATATAGACCTATCAGCATGTTGACATTTTTATCTTGATTAACATGGGATATGTATAGTGTTCCATTTACCAAATGAATGATACTGTATGCCTTCAAGACACTGGGAATATTGAAATTGATAAGATTTTCCCTGGGGAGATAAACATATCATTTAGTAATGTCAAGTGTTACATTAGAGATTTGTTGTTTAGATACAAGGACTAGTGGGATTCACTTGGGCCAGATTAAGATTTACATCAAGACTGGGTTAGGGAGTAGCAAGTTAAATTGTGTATGACACCTCTTTGGCACAACCATTGGGCACATTGTAATTTCCAGGGTCAAATTATGGCTGAGATTCTTGCTTCTCCCTTCTTTTTAATGGGTAACTTCTATAACAAGTTGATGAAATACAGTTTTTATTTTAACCTTTGTTTTAGCGTTTCTGCCTAGAAAAAACTGTGTTTGCTTCAGACTTACTAAACATAAATTAAGCCATGGTGGTTTTAGGATGTTGTTCTTCCCAAATACTCTGAAAATAATCTTTTATTTATTTTTTTGTTTGTTTGTTTGTGTTTTTGTTTCTCTTCCAGTATCGGGAATCAAACTCATGACCTTGCGCTTGCCAGGCAGGCACTTTGCCACTGAGCTTAATTCCCAGCCCCTGTAAATAATCTTTTAAAACAAACTTAAAGTTGGCATAATATGAAGAGAAACAGCTGGTAGACATTGTTTGTTATTTTCTTAGAGGTGATATTGGAGTCTGGCTTTCCTTTTTTGTATATATTAGTAAAATAAGGTCTTTTTAAAAATTCTAGGTTGAAAGAAAAGGAAAATGAAATGAAGATAGTAGAAGCTATGCTAAAAGAGAGGGAGAGTGATCTTTCTAGCAAAATAAAGCTGTTACAGGTGAATATAGTTATTTGAAATTAGTTATTTGGTGAGTTACCATCTTTGCATGTTGTTTTAAAAAGCTTTAACTGCTATAAAAGAAAGTCTCATTCTCAGAAATAACTACTGTCAATATTATATCTTTTGAAAAAATACCCATGCATAAATACATGAATGTATGTGTACTTACTTTTTAAACATAGTATACATAATTACACAGACTTTTCATTTTTCCTTTTAGTTTTTTGAGACAGGGTATATGTAAATCATGCTGGCCTTGAACTCACTATGTAGCCCAGGCTAGCCATGAACTCCAGTGATCCTCCTGCCTCAGCCCCCAGAGTGCTGGGGTTACAGCATTTACCACCTCACCTGGCTACTACAGACTTTTGATTTTTGCTTTGCTCCAATTAACAAATGTTTTTCACTTTCCACATGTGTACATTTCTGCTTTGAACTGTTAATGGCTTTGTGGTATTGTATGGTTATACCTCCACTTACATAACCAACTCCAGTCTTTGGTACCTAGCCTGTGTGGGATTGTTTGTCCTACTGCAAACAGTATCACAGTGAATGTCCTTGACCACCTACTGTACTTTGAATACTTTTGCTACTGTGTCTGTTATAAATTCCTGGAAGTAAAATTCTAGGTCAGATGTTAATTCAGCTTTTGTGTGTTTTATTTCACATGACACTGAAGTGGCAGCACATCCGTTGGTCCCTGCGGTGCTGTGGAGTAGACCCCTCGCATTTCATGCCCCAAGGGGTGGTTCTGTCCCATGTTTGCTCCCTCCCAGGTGTTGCTGTGTTCAGTTCTGTTAGGCACCATTAAATTGCCCTCCAAAGCTGTTCTTACTAATTATACCCTGGCTGGCGGAGGCCACTCTTCCTTTCCAACATGGACAGGCGGTGACAACAATTGATAAAAAGTATTCTGGAAAAATGGTAGGGTTGTTTTTAATTTGCATTTGTGAACGAAGTTAAGCATTCTTCATATGTGTATGCCATTTGTATATGAAATACCCTTTAATTTTTCCTTCTGGGATGACTGCTTTGCTAATTTATAAGGGAAATTAGTCCTTCGTTATTTATGAGGTGATCTATGCTGCCCTTCCAATTTTCCTTTAGACTTCTTTTGTGTTCCTTCCTGTTTTTGGAGAGTTTAAATGTTTACGTATTGAAATACAAGTATTTTGCTGAGTTTTAGTTTTAGGACTCTCACTCCAAAGATATTTTCACATTTTCCTTAGATTTTTAAAATTTGTATGTAACTTCAGTATGTTGTGAAAATAACATTCCATCCTTTATAAAGAAGCTAGCTATGTTACTAAATCCTATGTCATTTCTGCAGTGGCTGTGCTCTGCAGGGTACATTTAGTAGTATGTGGAGTCATGGTTGGTCATCACAGCTATTGAACGTACTAGGTAGCAGCTGTGGATATAGCTATAGTCTGTAGTGCACAGGACAGTCCCGTACAGCAAAAAAATGCCCAGCCCAAGATAATGCATGCATCAAGGTTGAGGCACCCTGCCCTGTTGACATGAAATATCACCCTGTAGATACTTGGATCTATTTCTGTGTCCTTTTTTGTTCCTTTTGAGGCATACCCATTCCCAGGCTTGTGCTAACTGTAACTACTATAACTACGTGTTTCTAGAAATTTTTCTAGATTGTATAGTATGTTTCAAAAGCTTATTATGGAAAATGAAAATCTACATATTCATATTTAATTTTTGTTTAAAAAGGAGGTGCAAGATGAAAACAAATTATTTAAATCCCAGATTGAGCAGTTTAAGCAACAGAATTACCAACAGGTAGGTACTGGTACTATTAGATGTTTTGCCTTTTATTTATGTGATTAAAAAATTACATAACCAGTAACTAGTTTACCATTTTAAAATTTCATCAAGAATAAAATATTTGTCCTTGTATTTGTTTACCAAATTTCCTATAAAACAAAGAAATTTGCAGGAAATATTCTAGATAAAATAATCTACAATTTATAAAAATATACACATATTACTATCAGTACTTTAGCTCTGTATATCTATGTTCTCTGAGTCTCAGAAATGCTGTTCTTAGCTAGTTGAAATTATGTAGAAGTCAGTTTAAACATATGTATGTATATACTCTCTCTTGCTTCCTGAAACAAAATATTAATAATTGGAGGGAAACTAGCAAATATGTAATATTATAAATGATGGCCTACGACTGTTAAAAGTGCCTTTTCAAGGTGTAATTTAGCTTGATAAAATTGAAATAGTTTATTTTAAAAAAGATACATTACCTACAATTTTCTTCAATTCATGGATATTTCAGAATGTATTTTGAAGAACAAAAATATCAGAGTACTTGTTGACAAGAAACATCTAGTAGTTTACTTTGGGAGACTTTAATTGTCAAGAATAAATATATGTGAAGGCCATTTGTCTTTGCATATTATGTAAAATAAACTCTTATATGCGAGGAAATGAACTTTTACTAGCTTTTCGTTTGATTGCATTTAATATTCTTTTTTGAATTTTGGAAGCTTAAAATTTTACATAGTGAAATATGAATTATGCAGTATGAAAAGATATTACTACTTTGTACATAGGAAATTGATAAATGCTTGCTAAATGAAGAATTTAAATATGTAGTGATGATGAAGACTGAAGTTAGCACTGAATACTTTTTGTAAATCTGTACATATTTTTATTAAAATCCCTTGATTGAAGTTAAGATACTGTCATGGGGAATAAATACGGTATTTTTAGCATTGACTTAATTGATATCTGAGAAAAATTTATTCTTTTGCCTTAGAAAGCTTGTTTTGAAATCATATTTCTCTTTTTTAATAGGCATCTTTTCCCGCTTACGAAGAATTACTAAAAGTGTAAGTAGTTTTATTCACTCTATGGGAGGTGATAACTTTTTATGTGCTTTAGAGTTCAAAGAAGCATTTTTATGTACCTGCAAATGTTCACAAAATTTTTATAGTTATTTAGACACCTTGAACTACAGGTCAGTGGATCATACCTGTGCTTTTTTGCCAACTTAGCATCCTTTTTATATTTGGATTTCTTGGAAAATTTTTTTGAGGGAGATGTATAAATGTTTTTAGGGTTTTTTCCTTTTTTTTTTAGGCATTCAGAAAACACCCAGTTGAATCATACCAAACTGTATTTTAAGGCATTACTAAATCACCTTTAATTTTCTCAGCTGTCCTACTGAGTCTTCTTTATTCCAAATCTCATTGTGGAATTCAGTGGTGCAAATTTTGATTTAGTTCTTACATTTAAAGAACATTTATAATCTTCATTGTTGCTCTCTTAAGGAGAACTGTTGTCACTGAAACTCTTTTCTAATTGACCTTTAATTTTATCTATGGGACTATGTTTAAAGTCATTTCAGCTATGTCATAGTGAATCTCAACATGTTAAATTTCAACCACATTAAGCATACTCACAGATGATATAAATAATGTAAATATACCTCCATCTTGGTTTGTTGACAGAGTTGATCCTTTATAAGTTAGAATTATGTACTGGTTTAAGTCTTTAAGTTTGACTATATGGAACAAGCCTGACAGTTATGTTCTATAAAGGGCTTGATAGTGAATACTTTGTCTTATGGAGAGCATAGGTGTCTGTTGCCTTTCACTTTTTCTTTCCACTGCATTTTCTTAACTTTTAAAAACATAAAACAAGAGGCTGCACACAGCAGCATACACCTTTAGTTATAGCTACTTGTGTGGCTGAAGCATGAGGATCACTTGAGTCCACATGAATTTGAATCCAGCCTGGGTAATATAGCAAGACTCTGGCTCAAACAACAAAGAAGTAAAACAACAACTCCTAGTTTAAGGGCCATACACAAATAGACTGTGGGCGGGCAGTTTCTTATTCTTATTTTAAGAAAGAGCTATGTGTGATTTAACTTTGTTGCCAAACATTTATGTATATTGTTATTCTTAAGAAAAAACCATTTGTGATATAATTTTCTACCAAGCCACTTTCAGTCAAACAGTTGAATCTTTACCATTGCTCTCTGCTTTTCTGGTAAATAACAAATTCACTAGATGGAATGGGAGCAAGGGGGCACGAATCGTCTGAGTGGTGTGGAAATGACAGGGGAACACCTGTCGTTTTAATATGCTGTCTTTGTGGGTGAGCCACTTAAAAGTTGTATCTGGTTTCATTGCCTTTTAAAACACAGGGTACTGGTTCAATATCAGTTGCCTTTCCTCAGAGAAATAGCTACTGATGGTGCAGACTGCTGTAATCTCAGCACTCTGGGAGGCTGAGGCAGGAGAATTGTAAGCCTGAGCCCAGCCTGGGCATGTTAGTGAGATCCTATCTCAAAAAAATTAAAATGAGGTTAGGAGCTTAGTGAGAAAGCCCTGGCTCTACTCCCCAGTATCACCAGTGAGCAAGTAAGTGAATAAATAACTACAAAATAAATGACTGATACACTACCAGATAGAAAATAACAACTGCAGCAGTTCATATATTCATGAATTGTTTATTTGGAGCTGAAATTTCTCTTTAGCACAAACCTCATCATGTCATGTGTATAAACATATTTTAAAAATCATTTCTGAAGTTAAGAGTGCATAGGGTAGGCTTTCTGTGGTAAACAGTGGCTAAGCTGTTACAAAGTTAATGCACTTTTTGAACCATTATTTGTAGTAACAATGATAAGTAGTTGTACTACTGGTTGACTAATATCTAAGTTACATTTCTGTTTATCTAAAATTACTCTACTAAAAATATGCATTTATATTCTGATTTAGAATTTCAGAAAAAGAGAAGGAAATAACTGGGCTCCAGAATGAATTAGATTCTTTGAAGGATGCTGTTGAACATCAGAGGAAGAAAAACAATGTAAGCGAATCTTCATAAAAATGAAATTTTCTTTTTATTTCTTCAACATAGATAGTTCAGGAATTTCTTTTTTCTTTGAAACCAGTTTTACTTTAGGTTTCTAAATCTTTGTAAGAAAATGTTGTTGCTGTTTGAAGCTTTTGGAGGATATTACTAGAATAATTTTATTGGAGAATACATTTTTTTTATAGGTGAGAGGCCAATTTTTACAGTTAGGAATATCATTTTAAATACTGAAGCTATGTTTATTCCTAGTTTTTCTGTTCATTTTTTGTTTTTTAAAATAGCAGTTGAGTTTTTGTTATCTGGAAAAAATAATTCATTCAAGTATTTCCAACATTTTCAAGTATTTCTTTCAGTATTTTAAAATCAGAGTTTTTTTCTTCTTATGTACATCAGGCCAGCCTTTTTGTAGACCAAAAGTGATGCCAATATTCAAACTGAATACTCTCAGTGTTTCAGTTTTTGAAGCCTCCTGGGGTTTCCCTTTTTTAACTGAGAGGCATGCCTGTGAATTTTGGTAATCAAAAGGCCTTAGAACCTGAATAAATTGTACTAGAAAGTGGGAAGAAGCCGTTCTTTAAGAACTACAAATCTAGTACAGTATTTTTACTGAGCAAATAACGTAGGTGAATTTCACAAATTTTCTTATCAAAAGGCAACACCTACAGAGTCCATATTCTACCTAAAGAAGGAATATTTGCACACACAAATGCGATTACTAAGGCATGAGCAGGGCCAAAATGTTACTGAAATCTAAGAGAATATTGATAATAAATGGACATGTTTCCTGATATGTGAAACTTTTCAGAGTTTGTTAAATTTTAATGTAACAAGTTGGTATTTTCCTGCACCCCCGAGTTTGTCAAAATTAGGGGTGTGAATTGCCTTTGTGTGTTGTGTAACATCGCTAACAGCACTGCTCAGTATAGAACTCGCGGTGGGCTATGCACTGTCCCGCTAACATTGTGCTGTGTTTGTGGTTGGGGTTCTGAGATAAGGACGGCAAGGCGATGCCAGTTTAATGCAGCAGCAGCAGCCGCGGCAGCAGTACCCGGAGGCCTTGAGACATGATGAGGGCTGGGACCCTGGAGGCCAGCAGAGCACAGCGCCCAACCACTCTAGTTCTGCCTCTTCATTTGCTGTGTGTGCTTGGCCAGATTTCCTAACTTTCTGCCTTGGTTTTCCTGTCTATAAAATGGGGATACTGTAAATACTTTATAAATTGTTAGAAGGATTAGTGAGAGTTTGTGAAGTGTAATATTTGACACCTAAGCATTCAATAAATGGTGTTTATTGGCTTTTTATTTTTTGTTTTGCTTAGATTTCTACCTCTAAAGGAAGATTGAAATATGGCATATTGTCTTTATAATTCCTGATGAAGTACTGTTAAAATCTAGATCTTTCAGAGCTCAGTTTTCAGTGACCTCCATTTCTCCTCTAAGAGAATGTGTTTTATAGCTTCCCGGCTGCCTCATTTGCCTCGGTCATTTACCTTGTACAACTAGTGTCAGATGGTTTTGTGACATACATATTTGACAATGCCAGAAAGATACAGAATATAGTGAGTTAACTCTACGTCATTCCTAGTTCGATTAGGAAAGTGTTAACTGTATTAAAATAAAGTTATAGGGAAAATGGTAGGCTGCTACGGAAAGTCCCATGAGTGATTTGGTCTTTGCTTTAAGATCATGTGAAAAGCTTTTGCAATGTCTGTATATTTGTTCTGTCCTCAATCCTCTAATATTTGGTAACTGAAATCACACTTGTAGTCTTGGTTTATGTGTTTAGTTTTTAATGCTTTCTTGGTCTCATACGCACAGTAGTTTTAGAAGCTGGCACATTTGGTGTGTATACTAAAACTCAGAAAGTGGGCATCTTTATTTTCTCATTCAAGCTCTAAACATTGCTTTTTATTTTTTTGCTAATGTACATATTTTCCCATTGAAATAATTTTGCAGTAACCAGCATTTAAATGCAGCGCAAAATACCAATGAAAAGTAAAAAGCAAACATCTTTTAATAATGGATAAACTGAAATCATTCTTTCTAAAAATGATTAGGACCTTCGGGAGAAAAACTGGGAAGCAATGGAAGCATTGGCATCAACTGAAAAAATGCTGCAGGACAAAGTGAACAAGACTTCCAAGGTTGTAACGTTAACTTCTAGAAACAGTCCACTGAACAGAGCAAGTCTGCAGCTTGTCTTAAAATCAGACTAAAGCATTTAATTTTACTGCAATTTAAATATAAAATGTCCTTGTCATCCACATTTATCATCACTCTCATCTTTGCTTTTCTCATGTATGCATTGAGGTTTTAATTTTGGGCTTGCTGATTTGTTGGGATGACTCAGTTCGTTGTTGGAGCTTTGATGAGCGCTGCTTGACACGCGGGCCTCCTTGGACAGGGTGTGCCTGTGGGGGTGGTTTAGAGAACTTTGAAACCCCCAAACCAAAGAAATCAAAACTGTATTGACAAACACATGTTAATGTCTAGCATGCATCTGCAATGCATAGTGGACTCAGGTTTTTGGAAGCACACTAAGAAGACTCAGACAAGGTGTGAAAATGACAAAGTCTTAAGCGGTCAGTTTTGAATATGTTAATGGGGATAGTTTCTTATAAGAGGAAGATTTAACCACAGTACTTAGTGCTGAAACATATCCGTCTCTGTTTTCAAAAACAATGAAGGACATTCTCCTTGAGCGTAAGTTATCCATCAAATGTGAAGATTTCTAATTGTCATGGAGAGGTACTTTTAAAAGATTGAGATAGTTGAACCAGTGTAGAACAGGAGTATTGAATTTTTCACATGGATTAGTGGGAAACTATATGATTATGCTCAGCATTATAAAAGTCTTGTGTGTTTAGGTAATCTTGAATTTTAAATACAAGTCTTTGGGATATTTGAAGGACTTTTCTTAGCAGAATATATTTTCATACAGAACTTTGCATTGCTTTTGCAGTTATATTTTATTTATTGCAGTGGATGTATACCCATTCATCTGGCTATAATTTTCACTAATTCTTGAGTTTGAGATACATGGCAGTATTAGGACTAGGAAGATAATAGGCCAGAGGGGAAAAAATCGAGGCCAGGTGAGACGTTAATTGTTTCACGTGAGTAGTTGCAGTTGTGCAGATATTTCTGTCAGCAAAGAGAATCTGGTAAGGTTTCTCTATGCCCTGCGTTAGAGCTACGCTTTTCCTTCTGTTTTGTTAGTGGGACTGGATATCTAAGAAATGCTGATCATACCATCCCCACAGAAGTTACTGTATATGCCATTGGCCAGAGGCATATTGTGATTATGAAAGAAAGCTGGAGCTTATGTGCATGATGGCTTCTTGCATAACTAATCATCTGTAGAGAGAATTTACTGCCTTCTCTGTTTCAAGCAGAATTTAGACATCCTTAGAAAAGCTAGGTGTGATTGATTCAGTGCTACAAACTGTACTGTAAAAGCAACTATGTCAAATGTCTTCAGGGTTGTAGGTGCCAGAAATAAGTAACTCTGGTTAGCTTACCTAAACTGTCTGAGAAGTATAATACTACCTTTCCAGTATTACTTTTAAAGTAATATTCTTGAGGAGCTACTATAAATGACAGGTTTACATGAAAGATAATTTTTATATATTTCACCTAAAGATGATAATGAAATTATAAATGCAGTTTCCAACATTAGATTTTTTCCTGTTATTAACATGAAATGGAAATTGTTATCTACAAAGCAAGCTATTATGTCAAATAAAAACTTTGTAGTTAAAATTGTTAATATTCACTAAAAATAACTCCTCATCTTTGTGGCTCTTGATTACAAATTACACACTTATTTACTTCAGTTGGATTCATTTTCTTTGGGAAATTTTTCAGAAAGCTTCTGCTTCTGAAGGGTGTGGTGGCATGTGCCCTCCTGGGACGCTAAAGCAGATGGATGGCAAGTTCGAGCCCACCTTGTGCAGATTAGTGAGACTGTTGCTAGACAAGTGCTAGGGATGTAGGTCGGTGAGAGAGGCCTTGGGTTCAATCCCTGGTGCCGCCACCACCACCACCAAAAAGAAAGTTTCTGTTCTGGTGATTTTCTTTACAGCTTGTTCTAGTACTTTGATAAAAATGATAAAATGATAAAAATTTTCTCTAAGTTGACTCTGAAGTAGCAGTTAATTATTTTTTTTTAATGGACCTTACATTATTTTCTGCAGTTTTATATATTCCTGCAATTTAGTGTTTTTGAATTATTGAAAATATCCCAGTAAAATACCTATTTTTAGATATTGCCACTAATACTTAATAAGGAGACAGCTTTTTGAGTGTATAGAATGTGACCAAAATGTAACTGTTATGCAAATTTAGAGTTTCCCTGTAGTTAGGTTTCCTTAACTTGAAGTGTGTGCCCCTTAAACCAGCAGTAGATTTCAAAGCTCACACCTGACTGGTGGGAGAAATGTGCTGTTGAGTTATTGCTAGCTTGTCTGCCTGGTCACCCTGTTGCACTTTGCAAATGTTGTTTTTCAGATGATTTACTTGCTTGGTTTAGGTGTGCATTTTTATGGTTGTCTTTTTCTTTTTTTAAATCTTGCAGAGATTATTTGAATACTAGATTTTTGGTGATAGTGGTGGGGTTTGTGATCAAATCATTGCCCTAATTTTGACAAACGATGGTTTTGAGATTATAATTGATATCTATTGGAGTTACATTTAAAATTGGTAAATTTAGACTTACAGATATGTAATATTTTAAATTTGCAGCTGACATATATAAGGGTGTCAGAATTAGTCTTCTTCATACTCAGCATAAGTGAAGTAATTTGTTAGCAGCTTCTCTTTGGTTTCTTTCCTCTTTTTCCCATTTCTGCCACCCATCAAAATTTGACAGCCTTTTTTGTTTTGTTTAGCGTAAATGTCTTCTCCTGACTTTGAAGATGGAATTATCAAAGTTGTCATTGTATTCCCATGTCATTTCTTTTTCTTTTTTTTTTCCTTCCCCCTATTCCCACTCCCCTTTCTCACTCCCCCTTCCCCCACTTTGAGATTTACTTGCCAGTAAGTCTCAGTTATATGTGTATATTTTGGCAAAGTAGTTTATAAAGTTTTAGCTGTAAGAACTATGTTTTGTTTTATTTTTGGTTGTTCTTGGGGTTGGGGTCATTTTTCTTAGACACATCAGTTGGTTTCTAATGCCAAGGAAAATGTCCATTTTGTTCAAATGTTATTAATAAAAGACATTACTTGCTATTTAGTATGCTTTAGAGATTTTGCAGATTTTTTTTTCTTATGGAATCATTTTAATTTCCTAAAATGGGACAATTTGACATTTGTCAGTATTAAAATAATTTTTAAATTGATTTTTCCTCCTTTATATCTTAAAAGGCCATAGTATTTTCCCTTTTTAAATTCTGTAACTGTCCAAGTTTGACTTGGTACATCTTCTGCTTTAGGAAAGACAACAGTATGTGGAAGCTGTTGAGTTGGAAGCTAAAGAAGTTCTTAAAAAATTATTTCCAAAGGTGTCTGTCCCTTCTAATTTGGTAAGACTCATTTATCATTTCTTTAAAATATTACATTATCTAAGAAAGTGGTATTTGTATAGCATTTGTTCTCAGCACTTAGATTTGTTAGTATACAAATTCCTTAATTTTTCCATTATTAACTGTTATGGTTTGTGTCTGGGTGTCCCCCCAAAGCCTCATGCGGCCATGGGGCAGGCTTTTAGAGTTTGGCTGATTATGGGTGTGAGAGCTACACCCGCCCTGGGGTGGATAGTTTACATATGTAAGGGAGAGGAAGAGGGTGCTTCTGGCCATTTCCTCCCTTGTGTGTGTTTGTTGCTTTGCTGTGTTCTGCTGCTATGAGCTGTAGCCCTCTGCAATGTGCCACTCTGCCTTGTAACTTGCCAAGTACGGTCTGAAACCTCCACAAACTGTAAGCGAAATAAACCTTTCCTTCCTTAATTTTGGGCGTCAGGTATTTTGTCCCAGCAACAAGAGAAAAGTAACCAAGACAGAGTGCTTTTGAGTAGTTAAGGTTAATAACTTAGTTTAAAACTCACTTGTTTTTATTCACCTGATATTTTTGTTGTGGTCTATAAAACTCAGAGGACATAATCATTATATGGGAAAGTATTTCTGAATGGTTAATAAAATCAATAATATTCTTTAATGGCTTTATTCAAAGTAGAACTGAGTTTTAAGTGACTACCTTTTCATTTTAGCAATGTTTCTGAATGTATTTGTTACCATGAACCAGGCTCTTTACCTATCAAAAATTCAAGATTTTGGTCATCTGTTAACTTCTTCAAGCAAAAGTCTTGAAAATAATAGAAAACTTGCTTTACTTAAGGTTGACATGTTTTAAGTGGGAGAGAAAAGTTACTTGGTTCAGAAAATTAATTCAGTATTTGAAGGTAGAGAAAGCCAGTGAGGATGCAGACCCGTTTCCTCAAGTAGGTGGGTATTTTAGTGAAAAATTGTTCACATGCTCAAAAGTAGAGAGAATAGAATAATGAGCCTAGTATTCCAGCTCAGCAGTCACCTGTATATGCCATGTGTCAGTCCATATACAATCTTATTTTACATCCCACCTTGTACTGCCCAGATTATTTTGAAGAAACACAAACCTCAAGTGTTTCATCTGAAAACATTAGAATACGTATTTCTCACACATAATAATTCCTTTTAAAATGTCACTAAAAATACATCTTTAATTTTGTAGAGTCATTGCTTGATTCCTCCAGGTGGCACATGAAATTACCTATTTTAATTAAATAATAGCAACTCATGATTGTTTTCATCAGGACCCAAATACAAGATCAACATGTGACTGGTTAAAGATGTTGTTTTATTCTACCAAGTCCCCTTCACCAGAGACCCTCTACCCATTTTTCTCTTTTAAACCTGGTAGTTTCCAATGGAGTTTCCCTCAGTTCAGATTTGGCTGGTGTCTTTGTGAAGCCCATGGGTTGGTATTCAGTAGAGGTCTAATCAGATTCAGTCTTAATATTTTGGAGGTAGGGCAATGTGAGCAGATGTATTCTTCCATCGGGAGGTCATTTATAATGTCTGCTTTGTCTTTCTTGGAGCTTATTTATTAGGCTGGCTATCAAGTCTTTTTGACGCAGCACTACCAAACTTTGAGAATGTCTGTGCTTTATGGTATAACAAGACATTGCTGATTTATTACATTTCCCATCCCAAATGTGGAATCTTTTTCTAGGACCTCTGCTCCTCTAGGTGTGGGTATTAAGGGTAGTGTAAGTAAACATAATGGCCTATTCTACGTGTAATCTGCCTTCTTTCTTATATTACATGTATACACAACCTGCATTTAGTTCAAGTAAGGAGAGAAGAATTCTTTCATTTCTATTGTAAATATTGATGATACATTTGGACTTGATTAGTTAAATAGATCTCTACCACCTGAGTTGAACTGATGAAATATCTTGTACAGGGGGAACAGATA